TGGAAAAAGATTCTCATCCATAGAGGTAAGACGGAGGGAAAACTGCGTTTCGCCTCAGAAATCGGGCGGCCCTGTAAATCCGCGTCTTCGAGCGTAAACAATACGCCGCAAATGAGGAAAAATGCCCTTTCGTCCCTTCATTACCTCTTGGTCGACGAAAGTAAGAAACCACGGCATAAAGTCGAGGAAAACAAGCAGTCGCCGTTCCACGTTTTCCAACCGAGGAGAAATATCTGAAACGACGGGACCTCTCTGCGGGGATTGCAAGCAACCGGGCTAAAATCACGAGCTAAGACCTTTGAATACCAAAAGCACCGAGAGAGTTGGTTAAAAAGAATAATTTAAGTTACCAGCAGAGGTTCGTTTTACCTGCTTTCGAAAATAATTATCTATTTATTCGGAATCGCTAGCGAACCTGGGAACACATGTCCTCGTCATCTAAAATGGAAATGCATAAAGTGGCGTTGAATTCGATTAGCCGTATCACTTGAAAAAAAAAAGAAAAAAAATTGATCTGACGAAGAAATAGTCAAGAAAGGGTTCCGTTAAAAATATAGAATAGAGGTACACTGCTCGGCAAAAGATGCGCAACTCTTAGAAATACAAATTATGCAAATCAGATACTAATGTGTCGTTTGAAATATCGTTAACGCATTGTTGACTGACAATTTTACGCAAAAGTAATTCTAGAAGCGTGATTCTAGAAGCTGAGGTATGTGCAAATATGAGTTGACTAATGATCGGTCAATAAGGGGTTAAAAGTCAGTGATTTAATTTTGGCATAAGAAGTATTAGTAACAATCGAGGCATAAGCCCTCTTCCGTCATGCTGAACAATACGTGCGATTATTAGCTACGCAAAACTTCGATTTTCAGACGCCGGAAATTTCTTTGCGAACGTCAATTCACCTTCCCGTAAAAGCGATTCAGCCCTCTATAACGCCACGTGACTTGAAGTCACGTGCCCGACACAGATATATCGATACTTAATAATTTATATCTGATTTTTCCGGCAAAATATAACCCAGCGCCATATAACCCATCCCACTCCTCTACACCCAAGGAACTTATTTACAGTTTGTAAATCTATAAACATTTCAATCTACAAGACGGTATATTATAGATTTATAAACAAACAGTTATAACCAGAAGGTTAATATTTCCAAGTTTAGCTCTACATCGATCTCCTTGGCTTTTAAACTCTTGAGTTACAGAGGATTGGCGAAACATCCGTACCGTGAAATCTGGAATAAGACGACAAGGAGCGCGGAACATTCCCATAAAGTTTAAAGTCGACTTTTCTTATCCGAGATAAAAACCGATCAGCCAGCGATGGAGCCCTGTTAGCTGCGATCGGCCGCGTCCAGCATCTTTTAGCAACGAGAGATGTCGCAAGCAAGCGGTTTGAATACAGGCCGGCCGTGTAATGCAAATATGATGCAATGGAAGAAAAATGCGGTGTCCGTTAACCTCTCGACGGCGATTACACGTACGAAAACTCGGAGTCGGTAGAAGAGAGGCGACAACGAGAACCAGACCAAGCGCGAAACTCCTGGGAAACCGAAATTCTCGGACGAGGAAACTTCCTGAGGGAGTCGAGGGAATTTCCCCGGGTGTGGGGCAGAGTCCCCGATGCAAAAATCAATCGAAAGGGTTGCCGCTTAGAGCGATCAAGGTTGCCAGCATTTTCCCGAGCTCCAGCGAGTTTCCGACTCTATCCGGCTATCATTTGCTTGTTCATTTTGAAATGAAACTTCTTATACCCCGACAGGGTAAATTCTCAGGTTAAAAAGGATCGCAAAAGTGGAGCCGACTGCTTTTTTCTCTTTTTTTTTTCTTTTTTTTTTTACGGTTAACACCTACTTAAACTCATCTCCGTGTCTCGGTACAATTTTTGCCCACGTTCCCGTTGTTTCCTTTGTCGTTAATTACTGTTTACAATCATCGTGAAGGCATTGAAACAATTTCCGTGAATGTTTTTCGTTGGCGTTAGTGCGTCGTCCTCTCAATAAATTTTCAGTTAATTAACGTTTAGATTCCTCATTGCGCGTTGGTATCACTGTGCTTGAAATAGCGAACGCGTGAGGGCATTGAATAATTTAGAATAATTAAGAATAATTCTCTTTAACTTAGAAATCTCACTGTCAGTGCGCCTAGCAGCAAGGCATGAAGTTTTACTTAAAAGAGGCTTTCCTTAAACGCGCTTAAAAAAAAAAAAAGAAAAAGAAAATATGTACATATTAACGATAAAGTACTGTATCAAATTGAATAATTAATTACAGGCGCTGATTATGTGATTTTTATTTATGCCCGTTGCCGAGAAATGTCAAGGGACGAATCAGTGGATTTTCCCTTAGGGTAGCGAATCGAGCTCTCGCTTGAATAAACATAAAGTGTCGCACAATAGGCGAAAACGATACGTCATTTGAACGCATTTTTAGCTGATGCAACATCATCGAGCTACGTCCATTCCGCAACGAAAGGTATTACGCTTGCCGATCGGTAGAAGAGAAAGGCATTTAAGGCTTCGAAAGGAAAACGTTCGTCCTGGCGGAGGACACGTTTCCTCCTTGTTCTATTACCGTTCAGGATTCGATTTAGAGACGAAGTGTCCGACTTCGAAATCCCAGCGAGCGTTATCCGCAAAGTTAGATTTAAGGCGAGCCGTATTCTTTTTTCCTGAATTTTTGCGGGCCGCTGAATAAAAATTAAAAAAAAAAAAAGATCACGATACCATCCCAACTTTGAGTCACTCTAGTCGGCTCCGAGGCGGCGGAAGAGTTAAATAACAAATTGACGATAAGCTGGGTTTTAAGTGCAGATATTATTTCTTTTCCGGATAGCGGAGAAACATCGTGTCCCCGTTAGAACGTTAAATGAAAATGGACTCGCTGCCCTCGGTGGATCTTTAATTTCTTCCCGGCCGGCTCGAGTGAGCTAAGCAATGTTATTCGTGAAGCGGTAGAATCTCTTCTCCATACTAATTTTAGATTAAGACAAACGTTTATACTGATCGGACGGAATCGCCCGAGAGGAACTTTCCCCTCGCGCTGGCCGAGCCCCGAACTTTGCATTTATTTAATGCAATACGATTTTGTAGCCAACTGGGCAGGACAAATAATAAGCGCAATGTCCATTAATCTTGGCTGCGCTTTGTGAAAGAAATCTCGTAAGGCAGCCTCTCCTCCCTCGAAATCGAAAAATCGTCTCATTCAAGCTGCGGTGATAACTTAAGTCGAACCTCTAAATCCTCTATTCTTGTGACCATTTATTCCGTCGACAGAAATTTCACTCTCATTTAGTTCCCCGAGAGCCTCGGATTTCAATTTTTTCTCATTAAAAAACACCTCGAGTCCCTGAAACGTTTCAATTGGATCGAAACTTGATAAATGTCATGATACGGTATATAGAAATTTCGCAAACAATTGTGCATTGGGATTTTCATTAATACAAGTATACGAATTTCAGAGGGTATGTATACCAATTTACCGAAACCTTTCGTGTACTAATTTTCGATCATATCTGTGAACATCCACGCGTAATTGTACTTGCCGAAGGACACCATTTCCACGGGAAAATTCCCACAAAAGTAGGAGGGAAAATACCCAAAATATATCTTGAAGAAAACGGGAAAAGAAATCAACGCAAAAGTTAACGAATAAAGAACAGCGCCCTTTTCTCAAAATACAAAACAATTCAGGTGTGTCTACCTGACCGAAATTCGATATATACAAAAGTATCCAAGTTTTCGGACACAAGCCCCCTGGAAATTCGTACATTTCTATACTAAAATCTCGAATACGATTCTGTACGAAATTTCGAAATATCGTATCTTGATAATATATCGAGTACGTGTATATTACATTTTTAACAGGGTATAAGGTAAAAATGTCCCTTGGGGAGGGAAAAAAAAAATCCTGGAGAGACCTAAAGGACCTTAGAGGCGACATTTAATTAACGACTATTTAAAAGTCCTGCGCAAAGATCGGTCACTTTATCGATTAGGTGTACGATTTAACGTAGCAGCCGGCGAAATGTTTCGATGGCAAACGACATTACGTAAGACTGGGTAAAATAATCTTTTTCTCTTGTTGAGTTTCCGAAAAGATAAAAAAAAATAAAAAATAAAAGAAAAGAAAATAACACCGCTCGTCACGTTCTCTCTCCGGATCTTCGAGTCGCTGATAGAATTTCTGTTGGACGAACTTCCGAGCCCGGAGTAAAATCGTCTCCTTCATGTAAGAACCAATCAATATCGCCCTAAATTATTCAACCTTTTCCCGGCTCGCCGAAAACGAGATGGAGCGACTTCGCAGAGGAGAAGGAAAGATCGACCTGTTCCTTCCTTACGTCGAAAAAAAAAAAGACCCTCCTTAAAGTATCAGGAAAAAACAACGTAAGCCAGCCGTTCTTAAAACGGAATTTTGTCGTAAGTGGTCCACTATCCTTCGCCCAGGTAATCGATTGGAAGCATCCGAAGTTCCAACGCCCGTGCGGAAAAATTCGGGTCCCCGATAAGGGAATCAATCGATGCCGGCTCAGATAATTCGCCGCCCTTTTTCCCGGCGACCGAAAACGAAGGAAGAAGTTCCTCTCGCCAGTTTTCTTCCTCACCTTCCTCCCCAGGATGAGACGACCTCGCTCGGAATCGAAACGCAGACCAGGAGACACGCCTTCGTGCCAGTTACCGAAAGACTTTCCTACTCGAGATTTTCATCCCACTTACGACCTCCAATTGCGGATTTTAATGGGTCTTAAAATGATCCAAAAAAGGGGACCTCGAGTGGAAATTTTTATCCCACATATAACCTCTAACTGTAGGCCTGAAACGAGTTTCGGGGCAATTTACAAGCCTATACTTAAACTTGACCTTAATAATGGCAAATATTTCCATTTCTTCTACTTATGGACTTAAAATACAGACATTAAATCACATTAAATACGACGCACAAGGTCGAGATTAATCGTAGAAAAGCGAAACATAACTGAGAAAGGGCTTACTTAGGTAATGGTTTAAAAGTAAGGCCAAAATTTCGACAGGGGTCGGGCAAGTCTCCCAAAAATTCGGGTAGAAACTGCGCACAAGCCTCGTTTTCATCCATGAAACGGTTCTATACAGCCCCGGAAACTCGGTGGGGTTCGTTAACCCATCGCCGATCGCCGTGCTCGAATTCTCATCGCGTCACGGGGAATGTCTTGGCGGTAGGACGGAAGAAAATCCGTGGGTGATCGAATCGAAAGAAAAACGGAACTCGCCTCCCATCTTCACGACAACGAAATCCACTCGACGCAGCTCCGAACGGCATTCTCCAAATCCCCTAAAAAATGCATAAAAATGAGGTGAAAGAAGAAAAAAAAAAGAGAATCCTCTCACATTTCACTCCACTCCGCGAGAGTTCACTTATTCGACCCACGGTCGAAAGTAATACGAAAACGAGGTAACGTCAGAAGGTAGAAAGAAGCCTTACGAGTTGACCCAACTTTCGATAGCGTAACGCCAGTCTCGCGTCTCCTTTTATTTCCGGAGAAGAAAACTCGGAGGTCACCGAATTTCGGCCGAGTGGAACGGCCTCTCGATGCATAAATAAATTGGACACTCCAGTAACTCCTCCCACTTCGACTATCTCTCTCTCTCTCTCACTCTCACACACCCTCCCGGGTCCCTAAAAATGAAAAAGAGAAAGAGAAGAGCAGCCTTGAATATTCCGGCGCTACTCGAGAGAGCGAGGTGCGGGCCGCGCATCGAACGGCCTACCGCAAAACGGTGAAAAACGTTCGCCCGACGTCCGTTAACCCGAGGCCGGGCTCGTAGCGTCCGAAAACTGGTCGAAAACTGGTCGAAAGGTGGTCGGCGTCGTCGGTTGTCCCTTTTCCGGTGGCCGTTGGCCGCGCGGCGAGTAAAGGTGGCCACGCAAAGTGACGATAAATCGTAGCGAGCCGGTGATTCCAAATGAATTCCCTTAAATCAAGGGGGTAATTCCCCGTAACATCCACGCGTGGGTTAAATCCGAGGAGATCGGTTTTTACGGGGATTAATCGAGACGATTTGTCGTAAGCGTGCCGCCACCTTGAGAAAATTCGAGGGGGTCCGTGGGTCGTCGGGCGAGTTTCCGGGGCCGGTGGTCGAGGAGCGAAAAGGAGAGCGAGCACCTGGGAGACGCGGCCGCGTCGGCCCGGAGGAAAATTCCGCAAATCGGCGGCACGACCGATCGGAATGCCTCGCGACTCCAGCCCGGCACCTGACCTCGTTCCGCGGAAATAGAGGCGGCGCACGTTTTATCATTGAAATCGGCGGGCCGAGAAAAGTCGCGTTTCGGAGGTGGCCCGCTCCCCTGGGGTCGCTCGAGTGCCGCTCTCGAGAAGTAACGATTAAATAGACTCACGATTCGACGGGGTTCCTCGCCATCTCGCCGTGGGTCCCATTTAGAGCGATCGCAGGGCCACTCGTTCAATCGTTACCTCGGTGTCCATTTTGTTTGGTTAATTGCTAAAGAGAGGTGGCAGCGCTGCCGCAGGTTACGTTGACATAACACACTCGGGTATCCGAGGGCACCGAGAGACACGGGGGGACTCGAAACGCGCTCGAATGGTATCGATTATCGGGTGCGAGAGTGCCGAAAGAGGCGAGCCCGTTCCCTTTGCCGCGCGAAGGGCCGAATTCCTGCTAGAGCGGGCACGCCGGCTCGAGGGCCTCGCCAATTCGGCGCATCTCTCCTCTTTCCCTTCTCGCGTGTCCCGACCGTGGCGCGGCGCACTGCACGACTAAGGGAACTCGCTCACGACGCGTCCCGCGCCGCCGACATTTTCCCGGACCCAAGCAAGCGCACTAACGAACGAGCCCCGCCATTGGCCCGGCCTAGTGCATACCCACTACATGCGAATTACGCTCGGCTGAGACGAGCCGCACGTCCGTTACCATTGTGCGTCCAATCTAACGGAAGTGACGTCCGTCTCGATGCCGAATACCGCTCGGACACGGCTCGGACGGGCGAAGTTGCCTCGTGGAAGAAAAGACGCGGAAGTACGGTGAGGGGGGCGCCGAGAGACCGCGTCTTGCGACCGAGCGAGAGCGACGATCTTTGTCTCGCCACCCGTTGGAAAGGGAGAGAGATGCCACGGTCTCCCGGCAGGTAGAGTGGGGGGACCGATGAGACGCTGACTCGCAGGTCGCGTTTCGAGCCCGCGATGAGTACCACTGGGCTTTGAGTACCGTTCAACTTAGTTCGGAATAGAAATTTTGTTTAGAAGTACCATACCGTAGCGAGCTCCACGTGAGAACTTGGAAGAAGTCTGCGGGTCCAGGGTCGAGGTTGTGATTTAAGGTTAGGAAGCCTTCGCGCAGCCCGCACGCTCCACTTTGCCGAGGAAGGGCCAGTTTTTCGCTGCTCGAAAGTGGATTTTCGAGCGGCGATTTCAGAAGCTTCGGAATATAATACTACGTTAGGTTGCACCGGAAAACGTGATCACTTCGACACCGAACGAGGTGGTCTAGGAACGTGCGCGAACATTACGAAGACAACCGGCGAGTTCGATGCTTCGATTACGATTACGCGCACAGGTGGAAGTTTCGATAATTCGATTGTACTTGAGGGGTGTTCCAAAATGGCGCTCGGGTAGGGCTGCCATCTTGGAACAAAATGGAACGCGCATGGCGCGGGCATTAAGAAGGATGGTCTCTATTCGAATTGTTTAAAGTTTATTTAATAAATGTACCATTACTTTTGCGACTTAATCGATGGAACAAATGCAAAATCTTTCTTCGCGAGGCTGTACTACATACCATTTGTTAATATTTTCAGGCCCGTTGTGAGTGATTCGCAATCCTAAGAATAACGGAGAGAATGGGTTTCTCGACGTTTTGAATTTGCCGCCACAGTGAGCATGAGCTCGGACCATTCACCACGGTCTAAACGGCTGGACATCTCGGAGTTACGTTGCAGACGTCTTGAAATCCGTTTTTCGATAGAGTTATAAAAAAACAGGGATTTTCCTCGTACGTTGAGTCATCGTATAAAAGTGCGAAATTCTCCTGGGTGACAGGTGGTTTGACGTTTGTCCGCCGCCATCGTTGTTGGCGACAGAGGGTCCTGCCATATTGCGTGCGATATACAAGATTGTTGAACAATTAATTTTATTGCAAACAACACCGCCGCATTCCATGGAAAAGTGAAGCATCTACGGAGCAACGCCAGTCCACGAAAGACATTCTCGGCGGCAGGACACCTCTGATCAAGTCTTTCGAGCTCGTATCACCTAAAGGTGGGTGTTCACGTTTTTGACATGTCAGTTTTTATCGCCTCCAATCTGACCGCCTACCGTTACGTACGACACCGTCCAGGGACGGCGAATTTCTGTCGCTTTGCAGAACGACAAGTGAACTTTCTTACCGTCTCCATCTGCAGGTCACCGGATACCCTCGACCTTTTGCTCACAGAATTCTCAACACATTATACAACTGCCCGTATCAATAGAATTTATCTTTGGCATTTTAATTGATTACAGCTTAGACTTGATGAATTTCAGTCGTATGGTCCTTTCGAGGAAAGAAATTCGATAATTCGAATCACATCGTTAAACGAAACCTCGGTGTTCCATGCTGCCAGTAAACTCGATTCAATTCGCCAACAGTCGACAGTTATTGTATGACTAATATTGTGCGGTACATGATGTATTCTCTATAGTGACTATCTTTCTTTTATGTAAAGACAGACCTGACGTTGTGAGATAGTATAATTACGTCCACGGAAACGTACATTTTCTGACGTTTCATGTAAATCGCGTTGCTACTTATCTGTATTTTTTCATTACAATTTTCCAAAGATAAAAAGTTAGTGCATTTGATCACAGTCGCTTGGTGAGTATATTCAATCTTTTGACTGTCTCTTTATGAGTTTGATTATTATTGAAACGAAATCACCTCGTGTCTATGGTTCCAATACGTTAACAACGTTTACCGTAGATATATGTTAGGTTTGCATTCCTCGTGAAGAATAGAAGACTAGTTAATTAATAGTTGGACAATGGTATCTCGTTGCACAACATGTAGTTATAGACATAAGTTGAGCAATTATTTAACAACAACCAAGATCTAGGTTAGCAACAATAGTGAGTAATTGTACATTTGCTAAGACATATTCCATTTAATAAACCAAACTTAGGTCGTTGGATTTAACTCATAAATGACCTTGAACACAGTGATATTTTCAAATTTGCATTACAGAGGCAGTCGTCTTAAGAATATAATTGATAATATCAACATGTACTTGAAAAAAAAATACATGCAAATAATTAAAGACTAGTTACGTTAAAAAGAAATAAGATTTGTAGAGGATGAAAATAATGACGAATATACAACATTACTTACAATTAAATATATATTTCCAATCATTTATTTAAGGTACCTTAACATGTATCAACAGTTTTAATTAGAAGTACTGCGTAGAAAATATTAATGGCAACAATTTCTTTTTATGATATTTCAGATTCATTTCATAATATTTATTATCATGCTTTAAAATGTTAAGTTGAATTGTTTATATGTTTGCATCACTTAAATTGTTATTCAATATTTTACAATACATTCTAATCCATTAAATGTGGTAAAATAACACAGTAAGAATTGTTCTGTAATGTTCTTTCAACTGTTTAAATATTATCTGTTATTTACTTCTCATTACCATAGTGTGTAGTTTTCGCAATCAATATTGACTTTTCACTTACAGGTACAAAATGTCAACGGGACCTTATAATTATTCATACATCTTCAAATACATCATCATAGGTGATATGGGAGTGGGCAAGTCATGTCTGCTTCATCAGTTTACAGAAAAGAAATGTAAGGATTTTAAACGTCTGAAATGGCATGCGCTTTGCAGAAATCATTTATATACCATTTTTTTAAGGATATATTATTCTAACATAATGCTTAATTTGCTTTTTAATAATTAGAAATGAGCTGACAACTGGATTCTTAATTAATATATGTTTTCAATTGTTTATTGATTTACAGTTATGGCAGATTGTCCACATACGATTGGTGTTGAATTTGGAACTAGAATAATTGAGGTAGCAGGACAGAAAATAAAATTACAAATCTGGGACACTGCAGGACAAGAGCGTTTTAGAGCAGTAACTAGGTACATGCAATTTTTGTATTAAAAAAAAATCATGTATACATTTTCTAATTTTATAAAATATGTATATGTAATATGTTAGTTATAACATATTGATGTTGTTTTAGGTCGTACTATAGAGGAGCAGCAGGAGCACTTATGGTGTATGATATTACACGTCGTTCAACTTACAATCACCTAAGTAGCTGGCTAACAGATACAAGGAGCCTGACAAACCCAAGCACTGTGAGCAAATCAATTTTCTTATAGTTAACATTTATTGTCATGCATAGAAGATCAAGCCAAAACGGCACAGGACAGAAAGAACATTGTTTTGTGCCGTCTTTCATTTATAAACACTGTTATTACTACAATCCTAATAAGATTGAATTCTTGCAGGTGATATTTTTGATTGGAAATAAAAGTGACTTAGAAGCTCAACGAGATGTCACTTACGAAGAAGCAAAGCAGTTTGCTGACGAAAACGGATTAATGTTCGTAGAAGCCAGTGCAAAAACGTACGTTTACATAATAGAAGTAGCTGAGTAAATTCATAGCTTAAAAACTATGCTTATTTTGAACACCCCCTAATCAAGTGTTTAAAGTCTTTATTATATCAATTATATTTATCAAACAGGGGACATAATGTCGAAGAAGCCTTTTTGGAGACTGCGAAAAAAATATTCCAAAGTATACAAGATGGCCGGTGAGTTCGATGAATTTTATTTAAGTTTTATCTTTTATACTAAAATAAAATCATAACCTGCTATCGTATATTTTTAAAGGCTGGATCTAAATGCCACGGAATCTGGAGTACAACATAACCCCAGTCAACCAGGTCGTACCAACTTACAAGCTATCACGAACGAACAACAGGGAGGCAAAGATGCTTGCTCCTGTTAGACCGTTGATGTCTGTATATAAGTCCATTAATTCATTAATACTAATTATGCATATATGATTTACATTAAATATAGCTAGTAAACCGTCGTCCTACATCTTTTCCCGCCCTTTAGAGAAGGATCTTATTAGCGTAAACTGTTCAGGATGTTTTTCCATTACCGTTACACTTCGGGTTGAAGCAATTTCATAATTAATCTATGAATACTTCATTTTTCAGAGAATTTGACTTGCTATCAACTCTGAAGACTCAGGGAAAGGGTTGCTTTTCTACTTATTGTTATTAAAAACATTCCGGTCCATGACACCTCCCTAGAGTTTTTATGAGCACGATTTTCGTTAACTGAGTTTTAGTAGGGGTACAATCCTCAACTATTAAACATAAAAGTATTATAAACGGCAATGGAAAGACAGTCTGTAACTGAGGACCCTGTAGATCTTACTTTTGTAAACAGTACACAGTCATCTACTCCTTGCGCATTCAAAGTTTCTAAAAATAATCACGATACTTCTTTCGCGCGTAATATCTTTGTTGTCTCGAACTTCTTAAATATTGATGGTAAAATTAAACATTCTGAATTACTCAATCTTTAATCAGTATTGTTTTTTACCATGCTTATCGGCTAAATTATCAGAAATGGTTATCATATTTTGTTAGTTAAAATAAGTGGGCGTAGAAATGTAAACATACATCTTCATAGGTTAAAAAATGAAGCATGACATTTCTGTTAATTCTGAATGAATTTGTTTATTATACGCTCAGTGTTTCTTCCTGTACATTACAAAAATATTAAGATTCTCTATGAATGGGCAAATTATTCCAGGTGTTACAACATGGAAATGTGGTTATTTGTAAAATAACAAATAGAATAATTAACAAAGTCTAAAATGTTCACTTGATCTGCTCTCCTCTTGAAATATTACAACTGTCAAGATTGGGCCTACACAAGATGTTGCATGATAATAATTATAAAATATATTGCGGCAAGTAGAAGATGCCTATGTACCGTTTTTACTTTATGAAGATGTAAGAATTTTATTACACCCTCTAATAATTCATAATTATGATTAATGAATAATGGAGGGAGAAATAGCGCGAGAAATGTATTCCATAGGTAATATTCCCGATTTCTATGACAGAACCTTCGTTTAACTTTAAGTTGGCTGATCATTAAGTATGAAATGCTTATTACGATCTTACGAAAGATCTTAAGCTAAATGAGGTCTACAAATATGGGTAATTACCACTGAAATGGAACAAAGGACTAAGGTGATCGCAGCTCACAGTCTATTACCATTAGCTATTTTCTCTTTTAAGTAATCATCACAAATATATAAATCAGAATCATACCTTAGATAACAGCATGCAGGATAAGTTCTCAGATTAGAGCTTTGCCTGATTTGTTTCAACACTGGTGATCGTTTTACAGTTTTAATATACAGTTTGGTTAACGTTATCGATTACAGATCTAATAATGATGAAAAATTACATTAGTCGGTGCTTTAATGGATTGAATTTGTGACAGTGACGTTACGTATGAAAAATGTATGAAGTTAGGGTTGTTAAATGAAGCAAGCCGATAATAGTTAAATTTGTAAGATCTTTGCTGTGTATAAGAAAAGAAAATAATGCCCGAAAGCATATTGTAAGCTTCAAATACAATTTTGCTGATCGTTGATTACTTTCTTGCAGGTACTACTTTCGTACACATTTAAAGTAGTACTTGAAACTACTTTGAAAGACAATTATTAACAAAGTATACACTACGTTGTCAAAGACGCGTGAAACATGTACAGTGACTCTGTATTCAGATCACTATTTACATATTGGTTTTGAACCCCACTTATAAGAGAATACATATGTAAAGAAGTTTAAGTAAATGTCAATAAATATTTAGTATCAAAAATTTCTGGAATACAACACGTTGCTTCTGTGCATTGAAACAAAAGTATTCTTTATCATTGCATTGTAATACCGCATATATTTCATATGCCCAACAAGAACCGATATAAAATGCATATCTAGTTAGACATTTAATATTAATATAACATAACAATGGGTTTATAAAGGGATTTACTTGATTTTATTTATTTCAATAGAGAATACATTATTCAAGTAAATGTAGCCTTGAAACAAAGAGGTGTAAATAAAATTTGCTTTGTAGGCAAATGAATATTTCTTAAGAGCACTGTCCTTTTTTATTACGAAATTTAGCAATAGCGTCATAATTTATTACATACAACGATACAACCTTAATTTGTGAGTTTTGTAAAAATCATTCTATGGGGATGAAGTAGACCTTAAAAACAAACATTTTTGATATATATTTCGATGACATATCTTTAAAATGGCAATAAATGCAAAGAAATATTTTCAACGAGACCTACTTCTTTCATATCTATCAACAGTGGAAAAGAGATGAATATTCTATCAATTGAAAAGAAATTATCTTTTCGTTCGATCGTAATCATTTATTTCGTATTTCGTGTGGATTATATTTTATGTCGAAAACACAACCGCATAAACCGAATAGTTTCGTACATGAAATCAATATTTAGAATTTGAATGAATTTGAAGAACTCTTACAAATGGAGTGGATCATGTAATCTTGTGATCAGTGTTGCTGCCATTGTGATTCAGAAGGTAGGAGAAATCAGGGTTGGGTAATCACACCTTTATATGTTCAAATTTTTGAGTTTCTTCATAAAAATAAAATTTAATGGGCGCCAGCTTTCCCTTAAGGCCTTCATATGTACATGGTAAAAATTCAAATGATTCTGTCCTTCTTCCAATTAGACTCCCTTCCCGTATTATCCTCGGGACGAGAATTCCAAAAGTCCCTTCGAACCAGTGGCGAAGAAGACGCCGAAGAGAGAAGACGTTGACTGCACCCACCAGGAGGGATCGACATCATCCAAGAAGATCCTGCGTTAAATATAAGCGCCGTCCATGTGTACAGGGACCACTGAAATCAAAGTAAGATTTTCTTTTGATGCGTTTCGGTAGATTTTGCAGACGTGGATTGTATTCATGTCTTTAGAGTCTGCAGCAGTTGGCGTTGCACAGTGTGTCGCAGCTGTGCTGCGACATGCGAGGTTATGCGATTCCGACATTCGTTTCGTGGCGCACGCTTCCCCTTGGCGGCCGACAAGGTGAAGCGTGCGTCGCGGGCGTTTGTCGGGTCGTACAGTCGCCTGCATCGTTAACGTCTGCTTTTGCTCCGCGAATTGAGTCACGCGAAATTAAAGTTTGCTGGCGTGATGATTTTCACGCTCTAGAGTCCGCATTCGTTGGTAGTACATAGTGTGTCGCAGCAAGTCTGCGGTATGCGAGACCGTGCGACCTAACTTCCGTTTTGTGGCGCACGCTTCCTCTTGGCGGCCGACAAGGTGAAGCGTGCGTTGCGGGCGGTTGTGGGTCGTACAGTCGCCTGTACTGTTAACGAATGCTTTTGGATCGAAAATAATTTCAGGCCCTTCTGGCAGTATTCTGTTTCTTCTTCTCTCTTACTCTTGGTGAAGGTGGTCTCTCGCGTAGGTTAATTTATTGTAAAATCAAGTATTTAAGATAGTTTTAAGGACATTTCTTCCCGCGAGAACAAATGAAGAAAATCCCATCGTGGCACCTCGAAGTCTCGTGACGGAGAGGTGTCAGGATAGGTGTCTAGGTTGACGTTTTAGAGCTTCTAGACGGGCCCCATTGAGCGGCAAACCTCCTCGTGGTGGGCCTGGGGAATCGATGGTTCGACTTGCATGGAAATGCAAAAGAAGCATCGATTCACGAATGGCTGCTCAGCTAACCAATTTTGAAATTTATTAATCAACTTTGTATTAGATATTTTTGACGATTAACCAATTTTCAAATTCATGTTGATCTTGAGATCTCTCCGAGATCTCAATCATTTGTCAATATTCTTTTAACCCTTTGCCCTACAACAACGCGTGAGACTCGTGGCCCACTGAACACCAAACCTAACAGTTACGTAACCTAAAAGTAACAAATAACATAACGTTTGTTACAAGGTAATGACTTAACGGTTACGTAACATAGAGCTAACTAGTTACATGACATTTGTTGCAATACAGTAACTTAACAGTTATGTAACATTGAGCTAACGCGTTACATAACATTTGTTACTAACATCTAACTATAATAATAAAATCTAATAATAACTAACATCTAACTTCCATGTTACTTTTATGGTACATAACATGTTAGTTTCAACGTAACATTTACCCAACAGTTATATAACAGTGTTCACTGGGGGTCAGGTATCCGGCCCAAAACTGATTATCACGTGTTAGTACCATTCTTATAGGATGACACCGATTTGCGAACTAGCTGTGGAGTAGAATTTAATTAAGATAAAATTTCACCTTCCCGTAAACTAAATAAGGTAAGTGAAGGGTAAAGTCAAAGAGGGCGCCACGAGTATTCGTCCGTTACCATCAAAAGCGAGCATAGAAGTGAACGTAGAAAGCTACGTCAGATCTCTGGCTACGTATATTATGCATGGACGTATGATACGTCCATGATATTACAAGATGTATTATACGTATTATACTTACCCGACTTACCGACCCTGCTCCGCCGGGTTAAAGAAATATCGTTGACTTTACATTCTGTAGAATGTTTTTAAGTTAAGCGAAATTGTACCAGAGATGTGCAAACAATCAAAGCTTAATGTAGCCAGCACCAGTTGGCACCAGTTCCTTAGTTAAAATCCGAGTCAGTATCTTGCCATAATGTTGGTTTCTTTCAATGACATATACTTAATGCAGTAATTTACCGTGTCAAATTTTATTTCAAGGTTATGTTTATCAGTGAATGTTGACAATATGAATTTTTACTGACATTGAATCTATATTACGAATTTTTTTTATTGTATAACTTTTGGTGTATTGAGTTTGAAAAACGAGAAATTTATATCTGCTAATTCTGTGAGATATTTACCCAATCTATTGTCTGAAGAGGTTATGTTACATTGTTTCATGTGATAAGTATAAATTTAGCAGATTTAAACATGAATATGAACTATGGATTTTGTGATTTATGTATCAGCCCAAGAAACTTTGAAGAGCAGACACTGAGTCGAATGTTAACGGAGTTATATCAGTGTACGTCGATGTTTATTAAATATATTTTATTTAACCTGTGGTAAACTATACCATTTACATATCTGTTATAACTGTAATATTAAAGGTTTTTCAATATACGTCTTATTTATAACTAATCGCAACAAGTTTTTGTTGTATAATTATTTATTATTGAGCTATTTCATTAAAATTTTTTAAGTACTAGTTATTATTATCTATTATTAATATTTTACTGGGTTTCACATGTTCATTTGTTATTAGTGGGTTACGAGACAGTGGCAATTAATCAAACTCTAGACGAAAGTGTTTTCAATGATGGCAAAAGGAAGAAAGGACAAAATACAACCAACCGATTTGTTGTACCTGAGCCAGTGGACATTAAAAACTTAGTTGAAGAATTTAAGGGAAAGTTGACTATTTTGAACAGAATAACATTTATTTTCTCCGATCCTCTCCGGACTCACTCATTGGTATTGTAGGCATTATTATAAGACTAAACTTAAAAAACGAGCCGGTTTCGTAATGAGAGTACATTTTGTAGGCTCAGTCATCAGCATTAAAGAAGTATCACCTGTATGCTGCTCTACCAAAATCACAGGATGCATTTCAAGTAAGTAATTATATTACATTTTTATTAGCAACCTTTTCAGAACTCAAAATATATGTACAAATTTTTAGTTTGCCTGCTCCCAGTTGAATGCAGACATAATTGTTATAAATACACCACGTTCTGGCCTTAGTATTAACAGAAAAATGTATTTTCGAGCAATACAGAGGGGACTGCATTTTGAAATACAATATACGCATCTGATTAATCCAGATACTCGAAAGGTTGCTTTGTATTACTCTCATTTATTTCATTCAGTTGGCAAAAGCAAGGTATAGTAAATTTTATTTGAATCGATCTTAAAGTATTATTTTTGATATATTATTGTGTCTAATTATTTTTCTACTAATATAGAACGTAATAATAACCAGTGGTGCTCATAATAAAATGCAGCTCAGAAATCCATATGATATAATCAACTTGTATCCTTTATCAAATATAAAATGTATTATCTATGATTTTAGGAATACATTATCTTAAGTAATTTAAAAATCTTCAGATATAATTTTTATAGAATGTATTTTACTCCATTTAACATTTCATAAATTTGGCAACTCTGTGCATGTTCTTACTTCTGCATATGTATATTTTCCTTAATAAATAATAGGGCTGCTTTATTAGGTTTGTCAGAAACAAAAGCGAAAGCATCGTTACATTGGCAGTGTAGATTTCTACTTTTAAAAGCTGGTCAGTAGTTATGTAAAAGTATAAACATATACACAATTTAAATATTTTTAATATTCTTGCGATTATCAAATAAACTTAATGATACTGTCGCAATACTTTTTTTAGAAGGAAGACGTTTTGGTAAAGCAATTTTTTCTATTGTACCACTAAAAAAACGATCCTTGGACAATACGGAAGAGACGACATCACCGGTAACAAAGAAAAAGAAATTGTAATTCTGTAAGTAAGATAAGCAAAAATAACAGTTAAATAGTTTATTTCTCACATTTGTTATTTAAATTTATTTTCATAATTATTTAGTATAATTACTAAGAGATGATTAAGAAAATAATGATCTGTATTATGTCTAATTTTGTAAAAATATATTGTCTGCTTAGCACTAGAACTACCGACGGATTTTTTTTGTATAGGATGGGCCATTTGAAATCAGTCATTTTGACTGGTCTTGGTAGTTCAAGTGTTAATCAATATATCATTTGGAAATGAACAACTAGATTCAAAGAAACATTTTATAATTGCAGTTTGTTTATTACGGGTCTCAAGCTTTTTACAATTCGTGATAAAACTCAAGAATGATATAAAACGAAGATCATGTTTTAAATTTCTCTAAAACTAACATCTTCACAGAAGTAACAACGCGTGTAATGGTCTCTCGGATTTTGAAAACTCAACTGTACATCAGGATAATTTTACACTGTAATTAGAATTGTACATAAACTGCACACGGTTACAGCGGTTCTATCAATAGAATACAGTTGTACTTGCGTAAACCGAATGCTGATAAAATAGCTTGAAATGATTTCGGAAGTAGAACTTTTCAAGGTATGATTGACCTTTGGTGTTTTAAATACAACAAACGTGTATTTTGAAAATAAATTGTAAGTGATTACCGATTCTGTAATACACTCTTGCACACCTATTTCTCTCGCATCTGTAATAATCAATTAGAAACACTAATGCAATTGTTTCAAAGAAGTGAAAATCTGGGCCAGGTCTGCATTATTTGAAAACAGATTACAAAGTTCTCAACCAAGGGACGAGATAGGACTACAATTGAATAAAACATGTCCTGTGTATTACATACAATCTGTAGAAATGTAGTTTGTTGAACCGTAAATTGTAGTTAACAAGGGGCGAATGATATTCCGACATGGCGAAAAGGGTGAACGGGGCAAAAAAGTTGAGAACCACTCACCTAACGCTATCATTAATAACTATCTAACGTTTTTCTAATACTACGCAGGAAAAATAATTTACAATTTCTGTCATTATTTTACACGAATAACTTAACTCCCTAATTTGGCTATTAAATTAAAACGGCGGTGGTAATAGTTGTTGCCGGTCTACTTAACCACTATTTATCCTTCGATTATAATTTATCATTACCGCAGGGGCATCTTTGCACTTATTCTATTTATATCCAGGATTAACTGTTAACGGTATTAGTTAATGGTACACTTCCACAAAAGAACACAGATCTGACGTGCCGTTAATCATTACTCAAACATTCCACGAATGGGAGCACGACGGTGTTCACCTTTCGATAATTACTTTTGGAAGTCAGTTCTAATTCAGCGGATATTCTCTGCCGAAACATCGGTTTCAGTCTTAGAAGTAGGAAGCATCTCAAAAGTCCAGGTCGTTCCTTAGACGATAAACTGAGAACTCCTTAAAGCTACTGGAACTCTAATCCAGTCTAAACTTAGCCACTACAAGGCTTTCGAAGTAGCATCAATTTCGCGATAATAGTAAATATAAAGGATATTTATAATTACAGCTATTTTCCGATAATACCACGATAACGTTTGCCAGGAGCACGCTCAGTTCACTTGCTACGTCGACGCGGGGACTATTTAAAAGGTGATCGTGATAATCTGGTAATTCGTAAATTATTGTGGCACTTGAAAAGCATGATTGAATAATTACAGTCCCTCCATTTTCGACTCGCTATAGACATCTCATTAACGCTATTCGATTCGGTAGGTCCACAGCGATTGGATTCTTGCAGAAAATTACCTTCGATAAGGTACGATTACTCTTCGCACGTAGAAAATAAACTGTCTCGGTGGCATGGAAGAGAAGAATTAATTGTAACATATGGCATTGCTCTACTTGTACTTTGGTACGGGTCAGTGGGATGACCGAGAGTTCCGAATTTTGATTCTCCCTACGTCAAATGTCTATTGAATACGTTCTCTACGTCGTACATCGTAAACGCGATAAGATGGGACTATTAAACGTTGGCAGGTGCGAGGAGCAGTAAAAGCGCCTGACTAAAGAAACCTACACAACGCAAGACGTAGTTTCCATCCGATGTCTGTCCAAAGGGAATACCCATTTCAGACAATATCAGATCGTTCTAACGCAGTCGAATATTAATTACTGACAAGGTACGCTCGTTGATATCGCTACGCTCTACGTCCGTCGAATGACTTACATTTATATTGTACATCATAAACCATGATAAAAAAAAAAATTGTCTCAGGCGGGTATATCAGTACCTGATATTTGGATTCGGTTAGAAACACCAGAAGACTAGGTGTGAGTGCAGACCTCGTCGGAAAATCGAGATCGCCTCACCTTGGGGTGTTCACGTTAGAGATTACCTCAGGCGGACGCATTCTCTCGGAACATGGCTTAAAACTATGCGCAAATGATCGTGTGCATTGCATCTAATAACAGTCATTCCTCGTTTCCTTCTTTCGCGGATTCCAGATCGAACGAGAGCTCCTTCGCTCGTTCGTTATACCTTTGGGCAAGTAGCGATCAGCATAGAGATTTTAGCTCATTAGATAACGCAAGGAAATCTGTCGTGGCTGTCCAAGCCGACTCCTAGAACTTGACAAAATCTCCCCAGCCGCAAACGAGTTACTTTCAATTTGAATGATTCACCGAAGGCCTCGTTCATCTGTGATTGCACTGACCAACTTGGTCGGTTTGAATGTGATCCGCCGTTTTCGTTTGATCGTTCGAGTCAGACATGGGTTCGTCGATATTGGAAACCAAACGACTAGGCGATGGACTGTCCACTGGTCGGAAGGAAAAGCTTGGAGAATCTGCGCTGGATAACGATTCAGGAGTTCCTACGGAACTAATCGTTCCGGGAAGCGGACTCGATATCGCATCCAATCTATGTAACAAAAAAGGCAAATCCGTTTGCAATTAATAGAAGAAAATGAACAAAAATAAGCTGACCGAGTTTAAAGAGAAAAAAGTTACCTCACTGAATGTGACGTTACCAGGCTAGAAGTTTTCTTCACGGGAGGTTGCAAATGATGATCCGTATTATCATCCAATTCGAATTTTCTTTTCACAGGACCGAGACAACTCGGTCGTATTGCTATAGGACTTAAACTGCGTCTGGTAATAAAAGAATTCATTACACTCAATTTTATAGAAGATTCTGTTGTAACTTGTTCAATCTATGTGCATTAACGATTTTATAAATAATGATAAAGTATACCGTGTAGCAAAGGCCTTCCTCGTGGGGCTGGGAGATAAATTACTTTTCCAATTAACCATGTGAATCCCAGGTGAGTAACATTGTCGACTGAGTCCCGACCTCGTTGGAGAGGGTGAGGAGCATACCGGTGGACCATTGACCGATAAATTTAAACTTAGAGGATCTAACAATCTTTTCGTGCTCTGTCGTTCTTTATTGTTTAGTTGTTGGGACAGCGAATCCGAGTCTTTAAATGACAATCCCTCTGCTTCTAATGTTAAGTCTTCCCATGACTGCGACATTTGCATGGCACTGTGAATTTCCTTTTCATGAGCTGCTTCTCTACCAACTACGTCGATACATTCTTCCTGCCTTAATTGACTAACACGAGGTGTTAATCTAGGTGCGCTTCCAGGACTCTAAAGTAACAAAGAAATAATTCCATAGTTTATAATTTTGTACGTTAAATGATATATAACGGGTGATCTAATAAAATATTATAAATAATGCAAACATGCCATATGAATATAACACTGAATAACTTTCCAACTTAGGACTTGTAACATTAAAAAAAATAATGACATTTAAGAAAAAATAGGAAAACTGTCACAAATCGCTCATAAACTTTATCATTACTACTAAATATGCTAAATGTAGATTAAATATTTAATGTGCGATAGAACAATAAACTCAACATTAAAAATAGACCATTAAAATCATCACTTACACTAGTGCTGAAACGCCGTGTACGTGGGGTGTCCGAAAATATGTTAAACGGCGACACAGCATCTCTGAAATCAAGTAGCACCATTTAGACTAATCACAAAGCGTTCTTCAAAATTTCAAAAATGAGTACAACCATACCAAAGTTTCAAAAGTTGCTAAGAACTGTTGCATTCAAAGCTGCGATATAGTACAAAAGAAACATCAAGTGGTCAAATGACATCGGTATCCACTCGATGCTACGTAACAACTTCGTATACGAATCATTAATAAGATCATTTACAAACAATAAATACTACGATACGCATGTAAACACAGACAAGATATTAAAATCAACTTCAGCTTAAACTCAGCGAATGATAGAAACGACAAGTCGATTCAACACACCTCGTCGTAGAAGCGGAAGGCGAAGTGACCGACATAGTGGCACTGATCTCGTTGATCATCGGAGCGCTACTCGATCGCTTCAAACTGACTATCGGACAATCAACATCCATGATGGAGAGGATCTTCCGAGCGTGCATATGTATTCCTAGGATGCAAGTCGACAGAGAAGAGGATCATTGGAAAGCCCTCGGCAGGTCGTTCAGCAACACGGTGCGAAATCGTGCGGCGAATCTGTCCTGAAGTTTTGGCCGGTCCACCCGTGCACCGCCTGATAAAGACACTCTCCAGTGACAGCTCACAGGATCCGCAGCATGTGTGTTCAAAGGGACTCGGTGAAGGCATGAGCGACTCTTCTAGCCCGGATATTACTGGCGACTGCAGCTCTTTATCGAAGCGAGGTGCGCGGGCGGTTCTCGCTCGTTCGCTAATCAAACGTGTCTCCGAACAAGGACACCTCTTCGCGACGCAATCGACCGAACATTGGCTCGCCGCAAACCCAACCGCCAGCTCTGTTCGATCGAACTCCCTGCGAAGCAAGCGAACCGGGTATGTGCGAGTAAGGAATCTCGAATAAATCGTACACACACGGCTAAAAGCGTGCATACCTACTGGCCACGAAAGTAAGAGGCAATAACACCTCGTTTCTAATGAACCGCCGCCACTGGCGGCCACTTCTGGCCATCGTTCACTCCCACCGTCGTGAAGTGTGTTCAGGAATTGCAGTTGCGCATGCGCGGTCTTACGTTTTTACCTTCTCGTTTAAGCTTGTCAGATTTGAAAAATGCAACAATGCCTTCCTCAACGACCGGTTTCTATTATATTCAACGATATTCTCGAAATTTCATGCATGTCGTCTATCTACATTTTGTTTTAGGCGGTTCCAACATTAGATATAATCAGGATATAATCAAGTGGACTGGCCATCTACTGCGCATGTGTCGTTCTACCATTGATAATAATGCTGAAGGAACATTACACAGCAGAGATGAGTTGGGAGATTGCTCACGGGCAGGGTCGTGCGATCGCATCCTGTGCTGCCCTCTGGTTTCGTACGTTAACTTTCACCGTTTTTTGCCCCCAAGGGCGGCGCAACGAATTTCTGATAGGAGCTCGCGTACTCACGATGGCGGTACCATCTACCAGTCGCCGTTTGCGGCTCACGTACTCGTGATGGTAATACCATGCGGCAGTTGACGGTGGCGGCATACCTACGCTTACCAACACTGCTCGCTTTTGATGGTAAGGGAAGAACATTCGTAACGCTCCATTTGACTTTATCTACTTATCTACTACTATTAAGTACATTGTTGCCTCGAAGTCGACGTGATGCGGAGCTTTGGGGCACGCGTCGGCGAGTCGCGTTCGGAACTATCATGCAACAAATCAGTGTGAGTGCGAACGCTCCTAGAAATCTTCGCGCGTCCCAACCAGCCAAGCGCCAAGCTACGGGTCGAGACGTTGAGTATGTGTGCGTGCGGCGCTACACTCGACAAGTTGCGTGAGAGTCGAATACTGTGAAAAATCCTCCCGAGGCTTACCTAACTGCGGATATAAGCCGAGTTATTTCATGTATGATTTTTACATTTCCCTACCAGCGTTATCGAGCGTTTTCAAGCGTTTTTGAAGGTTTTCGAGCGTTATCTAGCGTTATCGAGCGTTTTTCAACCGTTTTCGAACGTTTTCACGTGTTTCTCAATCATTCTCAAAGAGGTTTCGAGCGTTTTCGAGCGTTTTTAGACCGTTTTTAAGCGTTACCGATCGTTTTTCAACCGTTTTCGAGTGTTTTTCGAGTGTTTTCCAGCGTTTTGAGAGCGTTTTGGAGCGTTATCGAGCGTTTTACGAGCATTTCCGAGCGTTATCGAGAGTTTTTAGAGCTTTTTCGAGCATTATCGAGCATTCTTCGATCGTTTTTCAAGCGTATTCAAACGTTATCAATCGTTTTTCGAGCGGTGTCGAACGTTATCGATCGTTTTCGCGCGTTTTTCAAGCGTGTTCGAACGTTATCAATCTTTTTTCGAGCGTTGTCGAACGTTATAGATCGTTTTCGCGCGTTTTTCAAGTATTTTCGAGCCTTATCGAAGGCCGTACAGTGCCGTTGCGTGTTGTTAAGTGCAGGAGAGTGCAGGAGAGTGCCGGAGAGTTGCCGCAGAGTGCCGGAGAGTGCCGAAGAGTGACGGAGAGTGTCGGAGAGTGTCGGAGAGTTGCCGCAGAGTGCCGGAGAGTGCCGGAGAGTTGTCGCAGAGTGCCGGAGAGTGCCGTAGACTGCCGGAGAGTTGTCGGAGAGTGCCGGAGAGTGCCGGAGAGTTGCCGAATCGTGCCGGAGAGTTACCGGAGAGTGCCGCAGAGTGCCGGAGAGAGCCGAAGAGTGTAGGGGAGTGCCGCAGAGTGCCGGAGAGTGTCGGAGAGTTTCCGCAGAGTGCCGGAGAGTACCGCAGAATGCCGGAGAGTTACCGGAGAGTGCCGGAGAGTGACGGAGAGTGACGGAGAGTTGCCGCATCGTGCCGGAGAGGGCTGGAGAGTGCCGGGGGATGCCGGAGAGTACCGGAGAGGACCGGAGAGTGCCGGAGAGTGTCGGAGAGTGTCGGAGAGTTGCTGTAGAGTGCCGGAGAGGGCCGGAGAGTGTCGGAGAGTTGCCGCAAAGAAAACGCGCGAAGATTTCTAGGAGCGATCGCACTCACGCAGATTCGCTGAATGAGAATTCCGTACGCGACACCGACGCGTGCCCCAAAGCTCCGCATCACGTCGACTTCGAGGCAACAATGTACTTAATAGTAGTAGATAAGTAGATAAAGTCAAATGGAGCGTTACGAATGTTCTTCCCTTACCATCAAAAGCGAGCAGTGTTGGTAAGCGTAGGTATGACACCACCGTCAACTGCCGCATGGTATTACCATCACGAGTACGTGAGCCGCAAACGGCGACTGGTAGATGGTACCGCCATCGTGAGTACGCGAGCTCCTATCAGAAATTCGTTGCGCCGCCCTTGGGGGCAAAAAACGGTGAAAGTTAACGTACGAAACCAGAGGGCAGCACAGGATGCGATCGCACGACCCTGCCCGTGAGCAATCTCCCAACTCATCTGTGTCAGAAATACGTTGCGCCGCCCTTGAGGGCAAAAAACAGTGCGATAGCGCTGCCACCCACAGAATAAATTTCAAACAATATTCTGTATCCTTTCTCGCAGACACGAGATCCCATAAGAAAGTCTATGCTGGTCTATGCAGTTCGTCTTCTTGGTCTGTCTTGGTCTCTAGTGTCCATGGTCAGCATCATGGGTATTTTGTAGTTTATTTAATTTATAAAGACAAACGAAAACAGTTATTGCTCTTTTGAAATATTGTATTTCAATATAATATTAAGCTACAAAATACCTTTAAGACGGATAGAAGAGAAATATGGACGTGGAACAAAATGAGGAGCTACAATTACATGGCGGCAAATTCTACACCGATTCTGCCGAATATTGGAAAAAGATTCCTCCCACGATTAATGGCATGTTGGGTGGATTTGGCTTCATCACCAAAACTGATATCGAAGGCTCTGCATTGTTTCTAAATTCTCTTTTGGAGGTGAATTACATGTGTAAATTTAACAGTTTAAGATTTTTGAATTGCAAGTACTTACCTTGTCTAAACTGTTATTTTCAGCTTCCTAACCCTCCTGCAAGAAAATATGCATTAGATTGTGGCGCTGGTATAGGAAGAATATCAAAGTCGTTGTTAACTAAGTACTTTACGAACGTTGATCTGGTTGAACAGAATCCAAGATTTTTACAAGAAGCTCGTGTATTAATGCAGATTTGTTCATCAAGACTCGGAATTTTATACCCCCTAGGTAATCATTTAAGGGTGTAATACGTTTTGATTGTATAAGAATAAATATATTGTACAGAACTGAACTTTCAGGTTTACAAGACTTTACACCTGACGTTGCAAAATATGATGTCATATGGTGTCAGTGGGTTTTAGGGTACTTGCAAAATGACGATCTGGTTAACTTTTTTAAACGATGTTTGTAAGTTTATAACATGAAGTATGAATTATATGCCAATTTTTCTTATACTGTTATTAAAAAAATTAAATAATGTATAGTTTATATGTTATAACTTAAACCTGTTTTTAGGGCTGGGCTCAAACCAAATGGATTATTGGTTATCAAGGAAAATGTAACAACTTCAAGTAATATCGAAGTGGATACAAAAGATTCATCAATAACGCGACCTTTGGATAATTATCGTCACATTTTCGAGAAAGCAGGATTTACTTGTATTAAAGAACAGCAACAAACTAGATTACCGCGTGGACTTTATCCAGTTTACATGTTTGCCCTCAGACCAGTAAGACCAGTCCAGTCCAGTCGGATCAGTGAGATCGATACCAGTAAAACCAGTAATAATGAACTAGATTTCACATTTTAAGTCATAACCAAAATTTGTACATAAACATGTAAGCATTAAATTCAACAAAAAATTCTCAAAATCTTTTAAGTATATTATAGAAGTTTACCATTATCAAAAAATATATAGAAATGAGATTTTATTTTGGTCGGATTTTTTCATACATGAAATGTTGATTGGTATCTTGAGGAGAAGCATTGATAAGTCGTTTTTTGACTGCACGAAAATGTGCTAGAGCATAATTGTATAGCTCATTTTCCATTTTCCAAACAATTGATTTCTGAATCTTTTCCACTGTTTCAGGAAGAGGATTTATCTTTTGGGTAGTCTGTCGCAAATGTGATTTGTTATCTAAAAGGATAAAGAATATGTAAATGCTACATTGATCAAATATTACTATTACGTAATAGATTAATAATGTCAGGTAGTCTAATTCTTACTGTGTAAGAAATGTTCGTATGCCCCTTTAAAAAATCGTGGTAGCACAGCTTGAAGCATGTCTATAAACTCTGCTAATTCTTCTGTTACTCCCACAAGCAAGTAATGTCGTTCCAGATTTCGTTTTGCTTCTTCTAGTGCCCACTTATTCCCAACTTCCCTAATTATTCATATAACACAAAAATAATTTTATGAATTTGTTCATTAGTTACAATTATTTCATGCTCATTGGCATATGTTTTAATCTTACCAACAAGCTGGATCATGTCCACATAAGAAAGGGATCTGCAACCACATGTTATTGGGATCACAATCGGCTTGTCCCGCTTTGATACATTCATCAAAAGTCTAGAAATAATATTTAATATTTATTCTTTAGTGAATTGTTATTGGGTAGGATCAAACCATTGTATTAGTGATGCAAACCTTAGTATCACCATGCTTTTTTCTAAGTAGATGTGGCCTAAAGTTATCACCGTAGCGCAGAAAGTAGTAATACGACACAAATCTATCTAAGGGTTTTCGTAGTATATTTATATACAGAGGTAATTGTTTAACACCAAATCTGGAAGTATTATAAAATGTAGTTTGTTTGTAAAGAAAATAGGGAAATAAGTTAAAATGTACATACTTTTCAAAATTTAAAAAAGCCATGTGACCATGATAAAAAGCTGGTTTAATTGCATCCCATTGGGTTATATTATTTACAAACTGCATCTAAAGTATGTCAGAAATATAAAATACATTTTTAGTAACAAAACATTGATATCTATGAAACAACAAGTTCTTAGATATATTTACCTGATTAGGAAGTGTTAAAGTATGCATATTATTGGTGATGTTAATATGCAAAGCATGATACTTATTTTTTTTGCACAAGTCATAAACAACTCCCACAAAGCTTGTAGAGCCAGTTTTTGGAACCCTATTATATATCAGAACCAAATTCTCAAAGTTAGATCTATACATTTGCACTTCAGGTACATCACTCTTGGTTCTCTTGTAAATTTGCGTGATAGCATCATCTGGAAATATAAAAGTGTCAACACGAATACCTTGATGATTCATAAGAGGTTATAATGGATCATACGTACTTAATATTCTATTACTTTCTTCTAAATAGTTTAGCTTAACTTTAAAGTAGAGAACAAGGACAATGAACAGTATTAACAAAATCCATTGAAAAGGGAAATTCCTTAATAACATTTTCTCCGATAATGTTTACTTGGAAACATCTATGGGGAACATAACCTAACACTGCGCTTGAACTGTCAGTATTTACTACTTGAGTCATGATCAATTTTAATATGAGAAGGATAGTTTTCTACAATAAAACATCAATCTGCTTTATATAATTATTATAGAATTTTTAAAATTGTGAATAACACGAGCTTACATATTTCATAATTGTTAATCGGGATCGCTCCATGTTCTTCAATACAAAGATGCTTAATTGACTTCAGCACCCCACGTGTAAACGGAGGACTTCCCCGCTTCCTTTTCCTTCCGTCGGGCAAAAGGGTGACAAAATGGTTAGTGTATTTGCCGATTCGTAATCCAAAATTTTGTGAGCAATCGTTATCAATACTGTAAGATGAAAGTTGTGCAGTAGAAACTCAGAAAAGTCATGATATCATGCGCTTGTAGTTTATATTATATTGTTGCTAATAATTTTGTTATAAGTCCAGATGCTTGTCACATTGGTGTTTCCTAATTAAAATGTTGTATACGATAATTAAAATAATTTTAGAACAGCTTTAAAATGACATGCTTTAAGTCCTTTTTAAACATTTGCAATATAATTTTCTGGTTTCCTCATTTTTATTTGAATCGAACTCGTTTGCGTAATGGAGGTTATGTTTGTTAACTATGTGCACGCTCATTAATTGGTTATGGAATGTTTCAGGGTAAAGTGAAATGTTCGGAACTAAGAAAGAAAGAGAAGAAGGAGTTGCTGAAGCAACTGGAGGAGCTCAAGACTGAGCTTACCCATTTACGAGTAGCAAAGGTTACGGGAGGAGCGGCTTCGAAGCTTTCCAAAATGTATGTTTGAAATATGTGTACACAAGCTTTGAAAAGTGTCTCGATTAAAATGACAAGACACAACAATAATGCTTTCCTAGTTGTAGAAATTGCTGGATTTTTCTCCAGCGTTTCTTTTTCATGAAATGTTGAAGTTACAACTCAATTTTTTTCTTTTCAGCCGAGTTGTGCGGAAAGCAATTGCCCGAGTATATATCATTATACATCAAAAACAGAAGGAAAATCTACGACTGTTGTTTAAAAACAAAAAGTACAAGCCTTTGGATTTGCGACCAAAGAAGACAAGAGCTTTACGACGAGTATTAACACCATACCAGCGCAGTCGCAAAACATTGAAGGAAATACGCAAACGATCTGCGTACCCACCCCGAAAATATGCTGTAAAAACGTAAATAAGTTTCTTCTTGCATATTGAAAGCAGTAAATTAATAAAAGCTTTTCTGTATTCGAGTTGTTTGAGTCATTTTGTAAACATGCAAAAACATCGTTCGTAAATATCGAGAAAAGGGGGAACTTATAGGAAAAATTAAATAACTGAAAGGGTATAGGATATGGTAATTAAAATAATGATTATATTCTTTCTGTTAAATCTATTTATTCAAACAGTGGCACTTTAGAATCAATTGTATGCTACAAAAGAGGCACCAGTTGGTAAATGAGTAATTTATTTTCTGTCCGCAGTTATACTTGTTTTCATACAGAAAGTTCTTGAAAAAAGCTGCAGTTAAATTTTGTTAATATAAAATTACCCATTGAAATAATTTGGCAGTATTATATAATGAGAACATAAAGTTTAAAAGTATCTTATAAAACATAAAAACAAAATAGAATTCCATACTAAGTTTCATTAGCAACTTCAGCATGCCTCTGTACAGTAGTTATATATGAATATATTATTTGTTGGAATTTGTGTAGTTGTCGATACGGCAAAATAATTTTTGTAGAAACATTTTCAGTTTTTCAATTTATTACGTATGCCGTTATGTGGGTGGATAAAATATGAAAAAAGCAATGTTTGTGGAAACCTTGGAAATCATTGATGCTGCTCTAACAGTTTTGTTTTGTTCCTACTATTAAATAAATTTTGTGAATGGCTGCTGTGTTATATGTACTTTACAAGTATTTATTAAAAATATTAGTTTCATGTTGGTTCCCACTGGAAGCACTCTACGGATTAGAGGTATGTAAGAATCAGATTTTTTGCATTTCTAAATTTTCTTGATTCTTTAAAAGTACCAATATTTATGTACAATTGTTACATTCCAAGCGAGATATTTTTAAAATACCTGTTTTTCTTAGAGAAGCATAAGCTCAGTACAAAGAGTGGAAATAAATATAATAGATTAGACCGTGATGAGCTTGCCCATGCACCAGGGACAGGGATGGAAATTTGGCTCAAGGAAACACGTGTCATTACAATCCTTAATTTCTGTTAACAAATCAAGGATTTCAGATGTTATCTTGTCATTAGTACCCATCGTATGATCAACGTTATCCTTGGCTTTAAGTTCATCCTCGTGTTTCTCTGAAATGGAAGATTACATACACAATACAAAACTGTGTCAAATAATAAATAAGTGTGAAAACTTACCAGAACTATGATCAGTTGTAGTAGTAGTATTATGAACTGCAACTGGCTGACTGATCGTTTGCCTTTTAATTAAATCAGCGACAAGAACTTTTAATTTATGTAGTTGTTCTTGTTGATGATTTCGCTGTTCTGCCAACTGACGAAAAACTTGATCCCTCTCTTTAGCTCTTTCTTGTAAAACTGCACGCTGTTTCTGATACAGACTTACATATTCACCTGTAAATACGAAAACTTGAAGTAATATTTTTTAAACATCATTGCTCAGTTTAACAATTATTAGAAATTAACCTATCGTTTCAGTTTCTCCTTGTAGTTGTAGAACAAGATGTTCTAATCTTTGTTTTTCGTCAGTTAGATCAGCAATCCTTTCCATAGTCTCTTTAAATCTATTTTCCAATTTCTTTACTGCATCAGGGAGAATTAAATCATTAGTAGTCGCATCTGGTAATGGTAATTCAGTTTGGGTTATCGCTGAGCTCTTTGTGATTAATGTCTGTTCTTCATTATTGCCATCTTGACTTTGCAGCCCATTTGTGACGTTCGTATTTTCTTGTACTAATTGTTCTAGCTTTTGCGAATTTAATTGAGCAAGAAGTTGCTGATTTTCTTCCTTCAAGTTCTCAATTGTTATCTAGATACATAAGTTAAATTCAAAATATTATTTTCAATCAGAAATTCGTCATATCGTAAACAAGTATGCTGGTATGTAACAAAATATAAAAAAAGTAAAAAATAGAACATAAGATAACACTATCAAATGATATAATTATGCTTAATTAATAAGTTCTACCTAATAAAGCATAATTACATAGGCTTTTTGAAGTTCTTGTTGTATGGTACTTGCGTGCTGGGATTGCGCTTGGTAATGCTGCATTTGATCTGTAATTTGAGCAGTTTCTAATTTCTCCTTTTCCATTTCAAATATTAAACCTTCCTTTTCTTTTAATTTATCTTTCAATTCATCCATCTCTATTTCCATTTGATATAGTTGAGCGTTTAACTTTTTCCCGATTGCTCGTTCTGCTTGAATTTGTTCCGTTAAATCTAATTTACTGTTACTCTAGACAAAAAAATATTGATTATAGAACAAACGATGAGAGGTTAGAGATGTATTGTCAGGGAGAATTACCAATGAAATGAAAGCATCGTGCATCTCTCCAAGTTGTTGTTTAAGTTGTTGATTTTGTGAAACTGCACGAGAAGTTGTAAGTTTTTCACTTTCGAGTGCCGAAGCCAGTTTTGATGCTTCAAGCCCCATTTCCGCATTCACTTGTACCTCTTGTAATTCTTTCTTTAGTGATTCTATGTGCGAATCCTAAAACAGATATGAAGAAAGAAATATCAAATAGTTAATTTCGAATAATTATATGCGACAAGAAATCTTACTTTTTCATTCAATGCATCTTGAAGGTTATTCTGAACCATCGTGAGTTCCTCAACATTTTTTGTGAGAGCATCTACTTGCTCCTTATAATTTTCAACAGATGTTGAAGAATCGGCCCTTTCTCTTTCACGTTGCAACTGTTGTTCCAAAAATGATAATCGTTGGATATAACTTTGCTCTCTTACTTCCCAGTCGCCAAATGCTTTCCTCTCGGTTTCAATCTGGAATGAACTTGAATAAAGTCCAGTAATTATTTTTTAATTATTCTGGCATAAAAATCCTTCTTAGACATACAGCGGCAAGAATCCTGGAATGTTCAGCTTCTATTTGTCGTACATAGGATTGGTATTGTTTACTAATTTCTTCTTTCTCTTGGCAAGCAGAGCTTAGAGCTTCTTTTAAGTCGGTTACTTCTTGTTCAAGTGTTACTACTGCATTGGTTTGCTCATCCAAGGCTTGAGCAGCTTGTGGAGAAGTTGTCAGCTAAACAAAAATTCAAATATCATATTCAAAACATGAAAAGTATTCTTAGAAATGTATAAGTATAACATTTAATACCTGTTGTATTCTGATTTCATTTAATGACAATAAAGCTGCTTTTTCTTGCAACTGTTCTTGCAAAGTTAGCACCTCGGTAGTCTTGAAATTTAGCTTTTGCTTGAGTTCCGATGATTCCAATTCTAAATCTTCTTTTGCTTTCCTGAAATACGAACTAATAACTAGAGCGAACTAGAATCCGTTGATAAGTCTTGCAATATCCATACCTGATTTCTAAATGTTTTCTCTCAAGGTCCTCATAACTTTTTTGAAGATTTTCATGAACATTGCCCTTTTCTTCAGTACCGCTTTTTACGTTAACTAATTCCTTTTCAAGTTCTCCTACACGCAATTGGGAAGCTTTCAACTTACTCGATAGTTCCTCAACTTCCACTACAAAAGTCAATAAAATTGATTTCTCGCGTAATTTTTTATTAATAAGCACATCAAGGGTATGTATTTACCAGCTTTCTGCTTTGCCGTAAATTGGATTTGGGTGAGAGCAGCATCAAGTTCAGCTTTCTCACCAACGAGAATGCCAGTCGTTTGAGCATGTAATTGCAGTTGCTCTTTCAAAGGATTTACTTCACGAGCGAGCCTTTCTGCGAATATTGCATCTTTCGCTGCGAGCTCAGCTTCTAATTCAGAAACTCTGCTACTCTATGTTACAATAGATACTGGCATAACATTTCATTCTCACAAAAAAAAAAAAAAAGAAACAAGAACGCAGAATATTTTACGTATACTTACATATTGGCTAACTTGCATATGTAGTTCAGTTACAAGCTGTTTTTGCTCTTCGATACAAGAAACCAAGAATTGATTTCGGTACTCTAAATCAGAATCAAGGGTAGAGCCTTTACTGTCTTCTGTGTTATCTATCAAGACATCCTCTACAGCAGATGCCATTTGCATCAAATGCTCTTTTTGTGCAGATGCAAATTTATTAAATCCTATATATTTTAAATGTTGATCTTTCAATTGCAGTGTTTCCACTTCTGATGGAGAATTAACATTCACTGTACAGTTTCCATTATTTTCATGCGACAATATTGGTACATCTTCATTTTCAAATCCTAAATCTATAACGGTTGCTGATGGTATTTTCCTTATACAATGATTTGCACTTTCTTTATGATTACTTCTTTCGTCAGTCTGTACAGTTATTAATTCATTACCGTTATTTACTGATTCAGTATACTTAAATGCATCGGTAATGCTAGATGAATTTTTTACTGAAGGTGCAACCGTTTGTACATTTGGATTTATTGATTGAAATTCTTGCTGCAGCAAGGTTTGTGAATTATGTGTTCCATCTTGAATATTATTGTCTGCTGTGCCTGCAGTCTACACACAAATTATTAACAGCTGTTATCCGAACCTAACATCATTAAGTATAATTTTCTACACTACATCACTATGCTATATTACAGTCAACATAGAAATATTACAATACCTGCGTAAACGACTCATGTTCGTAAGTTGGGGTGTTTTGTGAATTTTCTTGAGAGTTACCACGTTTTTTGCGTTGATGTTCCTTCATCTACAAAGTTCATTTTCTTAGTTAGCACGAAAAGTTAAAAATGTCAATCAAGGTTTTGAAGCATTAAAAAGAGAAGGTTCATAAATGTAAGCATTAGTTTTAATTAATTTAAATTATTAAGGAATTCATTGACAGAAGAGACGTAGTACTGAAATTTACCAATTTCCGAGCAGCAGACAATTTTTTGTTATTCATTGTGACTGGACGATTGTAAATCGAATATTCGTCAAGGTCACAGGTGGAAATACCGATGCGGTTGGTAATTCACATTGTCAACATGAAAATATTGTACCTGACACAGTCACTTAGGTTATGTCATGACCTATCGATGCCACTTCACCACTTTTACCACCACAGACACATATCCAACACTACTTACCAGCTACCAATCGTTGGCATATATGGACGTATAAATTATACGATGCAACACAGCTGTACTTGAAGGTATTTTCCATTCGAACTGGACCATAAACTTTAAATCTATCACAGGTATAAGTTGGGAAAGTTGGAGAATGATAACTGTGTCTACTGCGCTGCCCACTCGCGGACTTATTAGGAAGCTGGTGCGCCATGGAGTTAAATGTAGTTCCGATTAGCATTTCATTTTTGACGAATTAACACTACGTGCATAATGTGACTACAGCATTAGTAAAACTTGTAGATAATCATTTGTTCAAAAGATTATTAGTGTTGAATAATTCGTGTCTAAAGGTCAGTTCTCATACTGCGTTTCGAATGCGCCTTAACTAATGCAATATGCCTCTACATTGGAAAACGATGGTGATAAAAAAATATAAATCAGTGAAGACTTCTTATGATGCAGTTTTTGCGTTCGTGATTTCGTGCTGCCCTCTATGAACAGTTCTGACAGTTTGAACATCATCCATGTGGCACCCTCTAGCTTGTCGGAGCGATGACGTACAATTGAAATTATTGAAATATAAACAGTTAAAGGTTGTCTTAAAAGTCAATCAATTATTTTACAAAGCACAATTAATGTAAGAACTAGACAAAGAATTTGACGGTTTGACATTTAGGATCGTAGTTTTTAGATTCTTAATTTTGATAAATACTGATAATCTTTATCTTGGAACCCATTCACTTAACGCGCTTCTAAATAAATCTTAATACAGATATACATTTATTATAAGACTTATTAACAAGACTGATATGAAAAGGAGTATTAAAGTGAAACTATGACGAGTTATTCCTCTTTACGCATATGTCTATTTACGTTCTCTTTGATTTCCAAGCATTTCCGTAATGCGTAAAGCTGCGTATATAAACACTCACGCAGTACTTGTTTCTAGAACAGCAGTACTGTCAAGTAGGTCAGTCACGGGGCTTCCTTTTACGCAAAGATGAGAAGAGCGATCACATAAATTCTGTCAAGCCAACCAAAAAGAAATCGCCAACGATCGGCTGTTCTGCGGTGCGAAAGTTGGCGGACTCATTCCGACTCTGAATATCCAAAAATCCTCGATGCATTAATTAGTCAATTTGTGACACAAACACTCATCTCGGTTAATAAGCTCTTTCTAGTTCGTTCTATTGAGTGTCGCGGTGAAAGTGATTCTCTTAGAACCGAAGAGTTTGGTACGAGTCGCACAGGAACATACGTGGCCCGAATCACATTACAAGACAAATCAAGTCGAAAGCGTATTTACAAACGACGGGCCTTTTCTTTAATTTTAAGACTAACGATACGAAAAATCGGTTTTTATACAAGAAACTGCAACAGAAAAATTATAGAAAGAGGACAACCACTGTAAGAAATAACAAAGAACAGGATTTATGACTCGAGATAATGTATAATCTTTGTCTTACTCAATTTGTACATCCTTTACTAGCACTAGGTTTGAATGTACTCATGGTAATAAAATGTGGACACGATAACAACTCCGCAATCTTGTTTATATAATTAATGTTTAAATTACAAATACGTTAAGGAAATATACAAAATCTATTTAGAAAATCAGATCGGGTGCAAGTGGATAATAATGCGTAAAGGATCATTTCATTATGGATAACCCGATTTACACATAATTTTACAGTGGATAATCATTTTATTCGGTACAGTCGTTAAATTACAGTTATTAACTACCACGAATACACATTCTCGCTCTGGCGGAGCTCACGAGCCATCTTTCCGTTAACAAATGCGAAACCTGAGATATCCTCATCGGGCGAAAGGATGCTGCAAAGATTCGAGGAAAGGTGCGGGATCGTTTACGAACTCTCGCTGGCTAGTTAACCTCATTGTGGACAGCTCTGCTCCAACATATGCAAAATGCCCTGATGACCGGGCATAAATAAATTAAAAAAAAAGATAACATGAAATCAGAGAGCGCCCACCGCCTATTTATAACTTATCCTCGAAAAACTATCTCATCTTTCGATCGATGATACAGAGCCTGGAATGGGATGTAAATTTCCAAAGAATAAAGAAACATCCGAAAAACCTAAACACCCGATCCATATCTGGGTGTGACTGCAATTGTCCTTTTCCCGGGAGTGCTCGGGAGGCGGTCGTAGGTCTTTTTGTAAATACGCGATCCCTGCGGGGCCCCGTGACACACATCAATGGCGGTGCGCTAACGGTAACGGTGAGTGACCTACTCTTGCTCGGTCTCGGCCGAAGACCGCCGATCCCAACCTCGTTGCGTCTCTCTCTCTCCCGCGGTGAAGTTACCGCGAGGCATCGCGCGTCCTTCTCGCTCCCGTGGCGTGGCCGGCGCGCGGTATCGCGCGTTCTCTCGGTTCCACTGGGCGGCCGCCGCTAGGGGTCTCGCGTCTTTGTCGCTCTCGGCGGCGCGGCTGCGCGCGCCGCTGCCGCGAGCCCCCCACTCCGGTGCTCTCTCCGTTCCTCCCACTGGCGATCAAGAGCAGCCGCGCTCTTTCACCGGCTCGATCGGACGGGGTAGACTTTTTCCTGCCGACTCTTCCTCGGATGGGCAGCCGCCGGCCGATTATAAGGCGACGCTAGTAATGAGAGACCCCCTGGCGAGCCAAGGTGCCGTCTCTCTCACGTCGTCGGCCGGTCGCGTCTGCCGAGAGAGTGCCTCTTCCGGGTCTTCCGGGTCCACGGGACCTTCCGGGTTCTTCGCGACTTCCGGTTGGCCATCCTACCATACCGTCAATCAATCGATCGATGATCCGAAACGATTGGTTGTTGTTTTCCGCTTAGACGTGCGCGTTCTCCACCTGACTCGACGGACGTCCAGAGATATTCTAAATTTCGAATCGATTCCTCCTTCGACCTTTCAATGTCATTTGTGTCGTACCTCGTTAAATGAACTTGTTTATCGATTTCCCACTAGACGCGGTCGTCTGGGGATTTAATTTAATTCGGAAGTTTTAGAGATTTTCCACTTAAACGCAGAAACTTACTGTTTTTCTGTGTTTAATACTTGTTTAACGGTATCTGGTTCATCCTATATCTGCAGTTAAACGTCGTACTTCAGGTTTTCTGCTTTTCGCCGGTGGTAATTCTTCTTCGATTGTTCTCCGCTCTGGAAGGCGCGATCATGAAGATCCTTTCGTTCGTACTGCTCGAGGTGAGTGGGCTTTGATCGAGGCATTAAACTTGGCCCGTGAAGTCATTTAATTTTCAAGAATGTCGTGGTTTAATTGCGGACTAGTTCAAGGGACGTGTACCAAAAGATTTCTTGATGGAACTTCGTTTCGTCCGTTTGGGGGAAAGTGCAAAACGAAAGCACCGGCATTGCATCCCTAGGGGAAACTAAGAACACCCCGTTTCAGAGACTATTTGATAAATTCAATCTTATGAGGAAACTCGGTTGAGTTTCACGCCAAATACTATTGTATACGTAAGTGCGTGCAAGAATGGCACCGAGTATCTTAACAGGAATTTCTATGTCGGCTCAGATGTATTTATTTATATCTCGGTTGTTGACACTTGTAACGGTCCCGCATTTGAGATAATTGAAGAACACCGTGAATTGTAACTTCTGTAATTGTGTAAAAAATCTGAAACTCACAAGACTGTGCTCCTGCAATTTTTCCGGAAGTAAATGTGTATTGGAATTCCCGGTTACTGAATAGAATTGGTTCTTGCAAAGTACGTATATTCGGCGAATGTCATTTGATAATCACGTTGATTAATTAAATTTGTAAATCATAGACATGGTAGGTATTTCCTACGTTTCGATGAAAACGTTCTATGTGTTCGGAGGGTCTTGTTTTTAGATCTATGCACCTGTGGCGTCGAAGAGAAACCGACGATGTCTGTTTGACCCCGAACACGCCGTCGATGGACTTTCACTGTAGACACACATTTAGTCGAGAAATTGTTCAAGTGACTTAAAAGCTTGGGTTAAGCTGACAAGAAATGCGCCATTTACCGACCGAGTTTCCTCGCTTCCGAAGTGCCCTGTATTCTATAACCACCTCAAACGGCAATCGGAAATCGCAGTACATTGTCTCTCCTTCTTTTGACTTCCATTAAACGTTTTCAACCATTCCGTGCGATACATTAATGCCATATTCAAACTTTCATAAACATTTCTAGAGAAGTTTCAGCTGACACGAAAGCTTTACCCTAGGGTCTCGTTTATGTAACTTTTCTCCAAACTGGGTGTACCGAATTATTAGAAACATTAACACACGAATATTAATATCCCTAGGAAGGTCCTGGTACCCATAAGAATTCATTTTTAAAAATTCATTTATAAATATTTTTAAATTCTACATAAAAAGTAAGATTTCATGGGTGTCACAAGCCTTTTTAAAGCCTCCATAATCATTTCTAATGTTTTATAGACGATTGGCCCCCACAGATACTACTTTCATATCACCTTAATAAATACTATCTGAAGATATCGCGATGGATTATGAGAAGAGTACTAAAATTCAATATTAAATTCTAAGTAAATGCGGGGCGCTCGTAAATACGGGGATTACTGTATAATAATTAAATCATAATTTCTTATAAGTTACATGAGAACTGCAAACAAGTTTCGCGGTAAGTAGCGAAAAGTACAGACTGGTTTCTGCACAGGTGTTGAAGCTGCAACTGACCGGAAGTCAGGGCACCACTGGAGGGCCCAGCAGTTTCGGATACGATGCAGCTTCGGCTTGCAGCAGACCATATTCCAGACTCGGTAGAGCCCGCATCGAAAAGCTTCCTTGCGACTTCCGGCGTCAGAATTGGTGCGCCGTTGCTGGTAACGCGTATCCCTGGTAATGGAAATAAATATATATAGAGATAAAAGGTGAATAAGATTAATTCGCAATTAATTATTAATTAATTCTTAAACTGTTACAACAGGCATGCGGTACGTCGTTTCGTCCAGGAGAATCAGGGCCTGATGCGAAGGATGTACGGCGACGAAAGGCATCTGGACGTTATCAGAAACGAACTTGAAAAGAACGACGTCGACGTAGAATTGGAAGACGGATATACAGATTTCCTCGATGAATCTAGGTGAGGGTGCAGTCTGAAAATAGTTAACAGAACACGTAGAAAAATATTCGATTAAATTAATAAAATTTCTGTATAGATACAAGAATGAAATTTGTAAGAGGAATCAAAATGGTTTCAATGGGTTGGCCAATAATTCTATGCGGTTTTCCGTGCGGTTCTTGTAGACGATGATGCATGGGAAACCACACGGCATTATTTGTCAACCTAATATTACAGTAATACTGTTCCTGATATCAGAGTAACGTTTCATTATCAATCCAATATTGCAGTAATACTTTCCCTGGTATCGGAATAACATTTCTTTGTCGTTTGCAGACGATTTCGATACGAGGTCGATCAAAATGACGAGGAAGAGATGGTCGAGGACGAAGGGGAGTACGAGTTGGATTTTGAGGATCGACAATCTAGGGTCCAGATAGAACCTCGATCCGATGGCAGAGGATTCACGAGCAGAGCCTGGAACGGTGCTCGAAGGTTTGGCAAGGTTCCAAAATCGAACGAAAATTCGAGAATTCCGTCAGAAACGTCTCTGGATCAGGATGTGGTCTTGACGCCATCAACGGTGTCTCAACACACAACGACCACAACGACCATGCCCACAAGTGGCATTGAATCAACAGTACCGACAATGAGGACATCGATTGCAGAGAATTCAACGAGCAGATCTGACATATTATCGTCGCTATCGCCGAATGAGACCTCCCAGAGTGTCTGGAACTCGAGCGAAACCTCGACGACTCCTATGCAGAATTTCAGCTTAAACGAGATTCTCAGCCAGTCGGAAAGACTCAACCAGTCCATCGAATTTTCTACGGAGGTTCCTCTGATTTTCGAGGAAATCATCGAAGTCAGCGAGATCGCGGAAGCGACCTCGACGAGCACGACGTCGACGGCGAATCCGAGAACGAGGACCTCGGGGACTTCATCTTTGGACGGGAGAAACGAGACCGTTTTCGTCGGGGATGAGTTGGAGAGAAATAAAAATCCCAAAGAGCCGCCAACTGGGGTCGGTGACCAGGATTCTGGAGAGAGGACACGGGAGGAGGAGCAGGTGCAACAGCAGAAGCAACAGCACTTCCGGCCGAGGCCAGAATACCGACCCTCGGAGACGACCTCGGAGAACTCGAATATGGAAGGCCAACTATTTCAGGATGTGGCCGCCAAGGATCAGGAGCCGGTTCTCAAACTGAGAGGAGTGTAAGATAGACGCGACGATGCATGGATTAGAATTATATCGAAATAAAATGTAGATGTAATAAGATTTTATTTCATAGGCTCTGATTTTCAGGAACGCGTGTCCCGTGAAAGAGGAAGTGGTCGCTCCATTTTGGGCAAATAATACTCGAGGCGAGGTACTGGCGTTGCTAAATCTCTACCCGTTTGAACAGTACATCCACTGGGAGAAATGCACGTGAGTATTCCGAAAGAGTTATAAAAATTATGGACGGAAACATCCATTTTCTGATTTCTTAAGACCTTAGTGACCGTGAGTCGGCCATCTTGAAATACGACGCCGATTCATGGTTATTAGGGCTTTAAATGAGTAAAAATAAAAACGCTCATTTTTCAGAAACGAGAACAAGCAGATGTACTGCAGGAACGGATGCAGGTGCGAACAGCAATTCAGGCTCCACAGATTGCTGGCCTACGACCCTAACAATGAGTGCCGAGGGATTTTCAGCGACTGGTTCAAGTTTCCCAGCTGCTGCGTCTGTCGATGCTACGACTTGCCGGTAGAATTTCGAGTGACGTCCAGATCTCCCAGGATCCAAAAGCAGAAGCGGAGAAGAAGGCAACGAGCCGACGTCCCGCGATCAGGGTGAAAAGTCTCGAGGGGCAGAATTGCCGAATTAATGTGCCGGGAAGGCGAAAATATCGGCAGAGAAGATGTCTTCGGCCCTAGGAGATCCAATTCTTAGGCCTGGAATATCCTATCCATACGTGGAAAGAGATTCACTGTTACCCGGAGTGTAATCGTAACTGTAACACCAATCGCTGGTCAATACAGACAGAAGTTCCGCAGAATTACGAAGGCACGGATAAACAAAAACACTACAAAAGATGTTCAATTCAGGACATATTTGCTCCACGATCGATGTCAACAGCTCGAATTCGGCATCCGTTGTCACACAAATATATCCTAAATTTAACAAATTTTTCACGACTCCATCTAAAAGTCTTCGACGGTAAAATTAAGTTAGAGCGAACGATAACGCACTTAATAGCGGCGATTTCAAAAGGGGCCTGACTATTTATTTATTTATTTGTATAGGTTTAAGCTACGCACTAATACGTAGGCGAGTTCGCGGCAAAATTACTCGCGCCATCCAGGGAGGTTCCGTGATAAGGCTCGTGAGTGATACGATAACGCCACTTCTCATTACACGCAATTTATTTCGTTTAAAGGACGTTATATACATATACATATACATATACGTGTAGGACACGTAGAGAAACGCGCGCGTGTACGCTCCGGAAAACTCGGACGTGGCGTACCGCCCTTCTTAGGTGAACGGACACGGTGTAACGATAACGATAACGATAACGATAACGACAACGTGGAGAAAGTACGATATGTGCGAGCGCCCCTCCGCGATCCGCTGGCGAATGGCGTTACGAATCGTTCCCTCGACACGGCGAATGCCAAATGGCGTCGTTGACGGGAAATTCTCGTTAACAGGGGAAATTTTCGTTAACGCCTTCGTCAAACAGAGAGAAGGAAAAGCGCTAGGACTAAAGCTGCCTGGGGTGACGTTAACGTCGCGACCCTTTGCGCGGTCTTCGTTTGTACTTCCCAAGATTGACCACCGCTTCGTGGCCGAACGCTCGATCTAACTCTCAGAATTTACTTTGAAGGTCTAACTCTCTACTTTCTTCCCTATCCTATTTTTTTCTACCTTTTTTTCCTCCAATGCAGCCGAACAACGGCTCCAAGCCCTGAAGAAAAACCCAATTAAACCAAACGCCATACTCAAATTCGCCGAAATCGACATCGCCTTATTAATTCAATAAAATTATATGTAACCCAGCCAACGGTTCCTAACTCGGATTGACAGATAAATTGAGCAATTAACAATCGCTCGGTTGAATTAAATATTATTTCGTTGGGTGAATTATAAATTTTCTGGATTTTTTTAATTAACTGAAGTTCAGTCGAGTCTGCCGAATTTGGATATTTTGAGTCGTGGTGGTTTAATCGAATCTTTTCTTCCGAACAATTGAGAAACTCGCGCGCACTGATAAAAATCCACCCATAAATTTACATACTCAATAGTCGGTTACTTTGACATCAGGAGAAATTCCAGTAAAATTACATTGTCTATCTATAATGTCATATTCAGGGTCTAAGTTAAATTGAAGAAAATTATTATGTAATGTTACATTTAATTCAAGTCAAAAATACCCGACGCGGTAAATATACAGTTCTACGTGTATTTATATATTTCCTAATTGGACATTTTTCCATTTTACGTTTTTCTACGTGAAACTTCAGTTACGAGGTATGTAAAGGTGTACGTAATTTCCCTAGATTTTTATCAGGGTGTACGTTCGGCTGCACATAGGGGAGGTGGAACATTTGTTAATTAACGATCGAACCGACGTGAAGTTTTAACAAGGAACAATGTGCTCGTTATTGGCCCTTGGCGAACCTGTACTGGCAAAACCAACGGTGCCGGTTTAAGAGCATCGATTAGAATCCAACAAGGGAAAGCGCCGAAAAATCCAAAATCGGAGCTTTCCCGAACAGTTACCCTAGTTAACGCTTTTCCTTTGTCCTGGCGCTTTCCGAAAGAAGTATCGCGCGGAATGCAACATTTCCCACGAGACCGTGGCCGTGGGAATCCACGTGATATCTCGGTGAATTTTCCAAGCCCGTTTCCTTTCTTTTTTCGCGGATTCCGCAGAACGCTCATCGGGATCAAATCTCGTGGCACATGACCTACAATTTTCCTCGGAAGGGATGCTGCTCGTTAATCCTGAACCACTCGTTAACAAATTCATGTGTTAAACAGGCAACAACTAGTTCCAAAAAAAAAAGAAAAAAAAACATTGGAAAATATCCAACTGAATTATTTGCATCAACCTATAAACAAGAATTTCAGACAATGTCTCCCGAATGGATGCAGACAATTCGGCACTTCGCGTTCTTTACCGTTTCCATTTCTCAACGATTGTGATACCTATCGAACGCAGGTATTTGTCGATCGGAGGTGGAAATTAAACAGTAACCACTTTGATGAAAATTTCTCAGAGCTATGCCCGGGTCTAGGAACGAGACACGCGACTAACGTTGTACACGATTATTGCAATGGTTACCCTAGCAATAGTTTCCCCGAGTTTCTTATCGTGCAAGCCGATCGAATCTCCCCTCGTACCCCTTAATTTAAGAATTTATTGCTAGCTATCGTCGATCGGCGATTTTTTTTTCCTTTTTTTTTCTTTCTTTCCAAGGTTCGAAGAAGCGGCGCCCGCGAGTCGTCGAAGCGTCGTCACTTGCCACCGCTTTCCCTATAACACATACGTGCCGTATGTATGTGTACTCGTAATGCTATTAACATTATACTAATATNATATACACACATGTATGTATGTAAAAAGAAGCCGTGTATAAATATAGAGGTATTTATAAATATGTGTTAAACATTTGGTACAAAAAACCATTGCGGGAAAAATGTTGGAAAAGGTCCGTATTTTCAAATCCACTCGCAGCTCTTACGCGGCGTATTCGTAACGTGGTGGCGCAACAGTGGACAGGTTAAGACGAAATACAATGTAATCGTAAATACAATTGTAACGGAATACAATTGTAAGTATAATAAGCCTCGCGTTTCGCTCGTCATTAGACACTGCGGTAAGTGTGCTCGCCCGCGTAGAAAATAGCGTTCTCCTTATACTTTAAAGTCATACAACATATACTCCGCGCCCGCTCCGAAGAGAATCCACATCGTGAAATAATTACTGTTAAAAGAGTATAATTGGCGGAGACCAACGCACGACCTTAATTATGATACAAGGGTCAATACGGTATCCACGAGCGTATGCTCCGAAATTCGTTAGAGTTCCGCGCCAAGTACATCTGCAACTCTCGAAGAACGCGACTCTTTCGCAGCATCTTCTTTTTCTTTTTTTTTTTCTTCTTACGGTTCTCTCGTGACCACCTTCGATTATTCGCTACAGAAATCAGAGCGCGAGGTCTCTGCAAGACAATTATTGTACGTACTGTATCCCGGCTTTGTATAATACTTTATCTATGATCCGTCTCTCCCTGTAACGATTCCTCAAAATGATAACTAAGCGGGCGCGGAGTCCAACGCGTTAAAAAAAAAGAAGAAAAAAAAATAGAAAAATTCCCACATCCTCGTTGGCGGTACTTGTCCAGGCACTGACAGTGCGATCTCCCAAACCCACGTGGCTTCGCATATAAATAACATATAAATCGCAAATCATGATTCTCCAACGCTCGATAGGAAACGTAAAATCGCCAGAAGTGCGCCGGAAAAGTCGAAAACTAGCGCACTTAGGAATTCCCTAGAACTTATCTATGCTTTACTTCCTTGCTTTTTTTTTTACAGAATTTACATTGACCGATCTCGGTCACCTCCCGAAGCGTAATGAGAATAGCGATTTTTTCCCTCGATTTCTCTCCAGGTTATCTTCTTTCTAACTTAAACATGGAAACCCTGCGGAAGACCGTGCGTTATGCAAGATCGCACGCAACATTCCTCCTCGGCCCTCGATAAATCCACGCGTTACAACAGACTTCCTCCGGTTAATCGCGGGCAAAGAGAACGACATTTCAGTCGCACCGTATATCGTATAAAAAGGATGCTAAATTCGTTTGCAACTAGCTGCTGGCAGTAGCGCTGCCTGAACACGTAAGATCGATCACAGAAATCCGATCGCCGCCCTTTACACGGCGATTTCGCGGCGAAGGGGCCTCCCTAGGGTTAACGACCAACAAAACGGTAATTTGTGGGAATTAAAAATGAAAGAAAGAAAAAACTATACGCCCGTTAACATAAAACTTTCTGGACATATTTAACTACATTTTCAGACTTTTCAGTTTTCACTTCTCTGAGTAACAACATTGAACCGTTCCCACAAATTTTCGTCATTTACTGGAGCGCTTCAAACAGTATACGTTTCTCCATGGTAACCGTAAAATCAATTGTTCTAGAAATCTTATTCAGAGAAAGCAAAAAGATTCCCAATCCACGCGAGTACGGCTATATCGGAACTGGAAACATCTGAAAGTATCAAAAAGAACTAAAACGGCGGCATGTTGAACAAAAGTGTTCATTATTTGTAAAAAAGGAAAAAAAACTATGCATTTTTTAAGTCACAAGTTTTGTCACAATTTTGCACGAATTCAAGAAATTCCAGTTTTAGCAAGAGCCGGACATCCACCGGAAATACTTGCAAAATTTCAAGGAGATTCAAACCTTTGTTTCTGAGGTATTGCGGTTACCGATTTCAAAAATGCAGTTTTGACACAAAACACGAAAAAATATAAAATCTTCAATTTCTACTTGTGAAAAAAAAAGAAAAAAACGGTACAGTCTTAAAATGTGGTTAAATATGTCCAGAAAACTTCAAGTTAATAAGACGTGTAGTTTCTTTTTTTTTTATATTTTAAATTCGCAAAAATCAGCTTATTTTTTCGCCGTCAGCCCTAGGTAGGTCCTGAAGTCAACTAATAGAGACAGCTACCCGTGAAGAACGGCCAAATCGCGTCCGCTAAGGCGAGAAACGAGGAACGAGAGGTACACGCGAAGGAGCGTTTTCGGAACACGGCTGTTTCCTCATCGAGTCGGCACTCGTCAGGAAAAGGACGCTCGCAAGAGAGACGCTTTCGAGATCGGAGCGTCTTGACATCAGAGGCATGATTTTTTTAAAGAACCTATCTAGCGCATATCTCGGAGGAACCACTTTTTCGTGTCGTCGCTCTCTTACGTCGTTAATCCGTATTTTCGTTACGTTACGTGTTATCCGTAGGACGGAATGGGGTAGGGTATAAGTCGCAGACACGGGGACCCTGATAAGATGAAAAAAAAAGGAATAAGAAAGAAAGAAATATGGTACACGCGAGTTTGATATCGATCAAGAGTTAAATAAACGTTTCCGACCGCGAACGAATTTATTTCCATTCGATACCTTCTACCGGAAGCATCTGTTTTTCGAATAATGAAATTTCTGAACAATGAAGTAAGAAAATGTAAGCGAAGTCATATATCGCATGTAACAGATTCGCCACGTGCACGGCTCCTTCGCGTCGCTGCATTTGGATTCTATAATAGGAATATATAAGCGCTGGTATGCAGAATGACGGCCTGACAAGTGTCGGATATGAAGAAAAAAAAAAAGTGAGGTAAAAAATAATCCCGTTCGTTAACTCCCGAGTTGGGTGTAATTAACAATCCGTGCTATGTGAAGTATCAGACATGAAAACGACTCCCCGTGCCTGATGCAGCATTACAGTAAGACGCGGGAACGTAGGATGACCATTGAGAGAGTATCGCGAGACAATACCAAGAAATGTTCAACAGCCAGAGCAAAAAGAATGAAACGCGATCGAAGAAGCGCGAAAATCCCTAAATTACCAGATTACCAATTAGCGTAATTAGACGGTGAAGTACATTAACGAAGGCTAGCGGCGAGTGGCGTCGCGACGTCGGAAAACGGCCGAGCCGGGAGCGAGCGCCGTCTTTAGCTCCTTAATAATCGTACCGATTAAATATCTTAACGCACGCACAGCGACGACGAGGACGTTACACGTCTCCGCCTTGAGATCGGAAACAAGAGCATACATAAGAACTGTACATACATAACATGCATAATACATACACGATAACGAAGTAGAAGAGCACGATTAATTGCGCTTTGCGCCAAAGAGTGCCGACAGAAATCTTGAGCGCGTCGTCGCTGCGAGAATCGCTTATATACGGCAGTATCGTATCTCTATCAGCTGAGCCCTTAATTAATAAATAATATAACAATGTGCGAGCGCTCCCGACCGGACGCGACAGTTCGGTGTTAACAGTGCTTATCACCGCGTGTTAAACGTCGCCGATGCGAACGCGCGATCGCCCCCTCGCAACAAAAGGATCAGTACAACGTGCCTAACACAGAATGTCGAAGGTGCATCGTTAAAATATATATGTATATATATATATATATATATGTATACGCGTGTGACGTATGTGTATATTGCCAAAAATATTTCCGTGCGATATAACATACGTAAGACGTTAATAAGTTGATATGTCGTCGAGGCGGTGTACGTATCACAGTGCTGTGATCGAGTTAATCGTAATCACGTTTCCCCCCTCTCTCGGCTTTCCTTTTATCGGCGATTTTTAATTCGCGTCGCATCGCATCGCCCTCCGGAGTACGCTTATCATGTATTAATTAACGAATTCCCAGTTGAGCTTTCGTTTCGATCGGCGAGTAGGGCCCAACGTGCTCCTTAGTTTCTTACTCCGTTACCTTCATTCGATTGTACTAGATAAAGGTGATGTGAAATCATCTCAAAGACGTTTTATAAATACAAATGTGGTTCTTTAAATCTCATATCGTCAAGTCGATTTCGGAGGAGATGTCAGCATTGGCATCCGAGGGTACTCGATGTCACCCTATCCGATGTCGATGCCGACTGGAAGCGTTTGGAATATGTGAATTAAAAAATTAATAGAATTGATCGCGGAAGCTTGTAATTAATGGCAAACTTCTGGTAAACTTGCATGATCCAGGATTTGAATGAAAAGTATGTGATTGATGCCGCGTTTAACGGTGTTTCTTTTTTTCTTTTCTCTTTCTTTGCCAGGGATATGGAAGAGCCAGTCGGTGCTCAGTCGACGAGCGAGCGAAAGCTCAGGTCGAAGTAAGTTTCTCGCAGAAAAATATCACTTTCTATTTTAATCGTAACCGTCGCCCGCTGCCAATAGAAGTAAGTTTAATCGTAGCGCTTATTAATTATTATACTCCTTTAATTTTTGGTCTCGGTAAACTTACGCCTAAATATTGTCTCGATAGCAAAACTAATTTCCATTCGTATAAAATTCATTCTCGTTAAGTTCCCGATTTCCCGATTAGAGGCGCGCGCGTAGCGACTAGCGAGTCGCACGCTGCTAGAAAAAGAGTTAACGACGAAAAATACATAATTAAAGCTCGTCGATAGCCACCTAGATTTTGGTCAATGATCAGCGCAATGTCGATGTGGCTCTAGACAGTGACAGTGAAAAATCTACATAGTCCTCTCGCTTTAACGTCGCAGTAGCGGAAGACAGAAACGACAGCATCGCGACGATAGGATAGTTATTCACAAAACTTTATCGTTCAATTGAAACTGATAAATAGTCGTCAAATGGGAACGATGAGAAAATGACCAAACGTGATGAGAAGCGCGTTAAATGCGGTATGCGATTGCTTTAGGTGTTTTTTCTCTTTTTTATTTTCAGACTCTATCAGCGACAGTCACAGTCGGGAAGTAAAAGAAAAAGAAGAAATATTATCTGCAGTAGGCAGCACTGCCGCCACCCGAGCACGTCGCGAATGAGCCCAAACGATCTCTGACGACAGCTCGCGTCAATTTACCCCATATCAAATCCGGACATTCAACGAAACAATAAATAATAACACGATTTGTGAATAACACCTCTGGAGATCGGAGCAGCAACGCTTCCCGAGTCCGACCACTCCGACCTGTTTCGTTAAAGTATCGCGCATAAAACGATCTCTCCATCCCTAATTCGTCCAACCCCCGACCTTCGGAAGACTATTCGATAGCTGATCAAGAACCTCTACTATAATTTATTACCAATAACTCGCGTTTACGGGAGCGTCGACATCCGATTGCCACGAGTTACCCACGGCTGTAACCGCCCACTACTAGGTATTTACACGTCGATGTAAAATCGGCCCGTAGACACCGAGTCATCTACTCGTCAATTCCGTTATAAATTTCCTCTTAAATTTATCAATTCCTCGTTATAGAAGTTAACTATCGACGCAGCCGTGAGTGCGTCCGAGGACCTTCCCCCCTCACGGGCTGCCAAGCTCGGCGAATAAATTATTGTTTATTTATTTAAATACGGGCCGAAGCTCTCCACCAGCTTGCGAACCACGTTAAATCATCGAAGAGAGTTCGCTACGCGGCGACCCGGGAGAAACCTCGGCAATGGGAGATTCCCGACCATCCCTCCCAAGACTTCTTCAGCTTCTGGAAATCCGACGCGCGCCGCGACTCTTTACGGAGACGCGAAACGCACACTGTGATCAGGGCGAGTCGAAGCGACGACCGAAAGACCCGAAAGATACTTCCGACTTCCGTTTTCTTCCCTCCTACCGTTGAGCTTGTGCGCTCACAACAGGCGCAGGTACGTAAACGAGAACGCCCAAGTGCGCACCGCATGCGCGCGTTCTCCATCCGCGGTAACCTCGCTACACCACAGCACCTGACCAGAGAACGCAATGTTAAGATTCCAGCGATTTCGTACGTCGTAGAAGAGTGTAAGGGTCCCCCGATGGAATTTAGATTGACTTCCATTGCGGTTTGTGGGGACCCCCCCGCTGATGTCAGGGAGGCCCTCGAGGCACCCATAACGCTTTGCTCTGTTCGTCGTCGACAGCATCCTTGACTTGCGTGCATATATATGCCACGTTAACGCCGGCGGGGATAACGGCTGAAAGACGAGAGATTTAATTACACGAGCTAGATCAAAAGACACGAAGACACAACTCACCAGAAATGAAGTGCCTAAACTCCGCCTCGATTTTGAGGGCCTGCTCGTACATCTCTTTAGCCGCTTTGGCGCTGACCTTGTCGCTTGGGTATCGCGAATCCTTCACTTCCTTAATCTGCTTCGTGCTCTTGAACTTGATAAGCAGGACGATCGGGTATATCTGGTGTCTGTGTAACCGCTCGATCGAAGCGATGGAGATATCTAACACGCAATGTGAATTCTGGAAAGAAGCGAGAAATTTAACACTAGATTTACGGGACCCGTCAATCTGACGCATGTTGGATTCCACGAGCGAAATTACAGAATGCGCTTAATAAATGTAATGTGATAGTGATTGTACCTTTTCGCAGATATCCTTGACGGCCTGCACGGTGGTGCACTCAAAGTAGCTGCCCTTCTTCCTGTAGTCCACGTACAGGGAGTCGCGCAGACCCTGCTCGAGGGTAGCCTGGGAACAGTGCATCGCCTCGGGAAGGCATCTGGTAAATTGATTCGGGTATTCTTGCAGCAACTTCGTGGCGACGCACTCGCTGAGCGGGCCAATGATCAGTACAGGTCTCAGCTTGGGATCTGTATAAAAAAAATTCACGGAAGAAAGAATAAAGAGACATCGAAGTAAAAAATTAAATTCATTGTTAACTCTATCATTCAATGATGTACCGATTCTACTTAGAGCACTCACAATCGAGTCTTTCGACGCGCTGATAACTCGCAGGTACGCTTTCCTCGTTCAAGGTTCCGCTGTCGCTGTACCACCCCAGATTAACTCCAGTAAGCTGAGAGAGCTCCTTACTATCCCTGCTAGATGAACGCTGGTGTTTCTTTCGACGGAAGAAACTCCTTCGAGCACTGGTCGAGCCTCGTCTTCCAGCATCCGTCTCCAGATCGCCTAAAGACCTCCTCAGAAGCAGCTCTTCTTCAATCCTAGAGAGAAGTATATGACATTTCTATTTATCTGTACTTATCACCAAATGTATTCACCAGGCGTCTAAGACTTACTTAAACTTGCTGGGAATAATGCCGCACATCAGTTTCCTGCCTGTCTGGTCCACCAACCAGGCCCTCCAGTGGCCAGGAGTACCGTTGAACATGGTATTATCCACGTAAAGAACGTCGTCCTTGTTAAATCTGAGCTGCAGGCTATCACCGACCTCGCCGACCCTGTCAAACATGGCCTTAACGTAGAAACTGTCCCCAGGCTTGTCCTTGACCTCGTTATATCGATCTGGCAAGTACTGGGCGATGAGAGTGACCTTATCCGCCGGTCTGGCAAGTTCCAGGGCGGCCTGCTCGGCCGTGGCTTGCCTAAGGTCAACACCATTGTACTCCAGGATGCGGTCTCCAGTGCGCAAACCAGCCTCTTCGGCAAGACAACCAGGTTGAACCGAGTGGACGAAGATGCCAACGCCGTTTCCGCCTACCAGGGAAATGCCTAAATTCGAGCACTTCCTCGTCTCGATGAAGAGGTACCTGGGTTCCCCAGGAGGTGGGCTCTTGCGACTGCCCTGTTCCTCTTGAGTAGGACTTCGAACCGTTGCGTTTTGTCGCTGCAAGGTCGTCACCGCCTGGTTGATCTGGGCTCGGGTCAGGGTACCGGTTGTACCTCGAAGAGAGTCCAGTGCAGTCGAGTTCCTGAGGTTCTCGAACGCTGCCGAGGTGCGCAACTTCGGATTACGAATATCGATATCCAGGGAAGCGAAGTTCCTGACGTCTCGTTCGCGCTCCTGGGTGCTTCTCGCATCCAGGGAAGACGTCACCAAGTTCATAACCCTGTCCCGGTCGCTAGGTGGTACTCGCTTGACGGGCGCCGTGATGGTCGGGGGATTGGCCGAGGTCACCGCGGAGACGGCAGACGTGGGGATCGTCGTGTCCCTTTCGGGTTCCCGGTCGGTCACCTCGATAGGCTGAGCCGTCTTCCTAGGAGTCTCCGGGCTGTTACACGGCGTCGGAGATCCGCTGCGACTGCACGCACCCTCGATGCCGGCGTCCGAGGAACCTGACGAGGCGGACCCCTCCAGCTCGTTGTACTCTGAAAAGACAAAAGTTAGGTTCCCATCTAACAAGTGCCAAGGAAATCAAGCTAGCGAAGATAATCTCCTCCTTTGCAGCCTCTTGCAACCGAAGGCGACGCAAATTCTGCTGAACGATTAACATACAGCGTCAACGGTTGGTTCAAAAGCAACGTTTCCATGCCGAGTTCCCTCGCAGGAACCTGCACCATGGAACCAGGCCAGCTCCTCCGATGCTACAGGTAACATTTAGGATACATCGGTGAACGTCAAAGCTGAGTACATCTAACATGACGCAACATGCGACTACCAACAAGCTACTACTCGGCAGATTGTACTTAACCCTCCGACTGTCAAGCCCTTTCGACGTATGGGCGAAAGTCGTGCCCACGCAGAGGTAAAAGTGGACCAAACGTTGGACGTACACATACGCCTTTCGCAGTCAAAGGGTTAAGCAGTCCGGATACACCAATACTCACTGTCGGGGCTGTACTGGACCAGCATGGTGATAGAGTTACCGCACTGGCGCAGCACGTTGGCGGCCAGCTGGTAGGTGGCGCTCCTCATATTGATGCCACAAACCTCGAGCAGCTGGTCCCCGATTTGAAGGCCGACTTGGGAGGCCAGACTGTGCTCGCTCACCGTCGAGACGAAGACGCCGCCGCTCTCTAGGCAGGAAATTTGGATGCCAAGGGGCTCGACGGATTTGTCGATGTGGACTCTGCGCAGCTCCCCGGGCGCCGGTTTATTGGAGTGAGGACAGGTGCAGTCTATCATGCTCGACCTCTTACCGCTCCCTCGGACCGTGCCGGTGCCGGGACTGAGGACCTCCACGTGGAAGGTGGGCATGGGACTCCCACGCTCGGAGGTACGCTCGATGCTGCCGGTGGAGAGCTTGCCAGCGCTGCTTTTGGAGGTGACGCTGGGGTTCGAGGGTATTCGAAACCGCTGGTTCTCCTTCTTTCTCGGGAAGGTGCCGCCCTCGTATCCATGGGTGTAGGGCAAGTCAATGCTGGGGTGTGGTCGGGGTTTGGGGTAGTGAATGTCTACAGAGGGGGTGTGGACGTGTCCCATGATGGGCTGGTGGGAACCCGGGCTGTAGGGCGGTTCAAAAGTGCAGTTGCGAATGTCGGACAACCCGATAGACTCCCCGGACTGCGCGGACGGCAGCGGCGGCGGAGAGGGATACCTGGAGTGTATGGGGTACGAGTACGGAGGGCTGAAATTACCGCTCGTCAGCTTCATACCGCCCGACATCGAGCCCGAACTCGTCCCGTACACCTGCGAGTGGGTTCGGTTGTGCAGACCCTCACCGATCGGGATGTCGTTGCTGCCCATGTACTTCTGCGCCTTCTTCCGGGCGTGGTCGGCATCCTTCAGGGAAACTGTGCCTCCCGTGGATGAGGAGGATGCCCCGGTACCACCGAGACTGACTACTCTTCCAGGTCCGATGCTGGTCGCCTTCATCGAGGCGAAGTCGATGCTCGTGTCCGAAGGGGCTAGGATGGAGCCTAGCCTGTTGTCGCCCATGTCGAACTCGCTCGAGGGTTTCTTGTCCAGCTGGATGTCTTTGAACTGGACTACCGGGGAGGTCTTCTGGCCTGGGAGCTGGGACTTGGTGAAGCTCGACGGCGGACTCTCGACCACCTTGTAGACGGTGTGTCGATTGGTACCGGCCTTGATGTTACCGCTGCTCGAGTTTGGTATGGGGTTGGAGATGCGGTTGGATCCGTCGTACGTGGGTGGTTGGTTCAGGATCACGCTGAGGGGCAGACGTTCCTTCGTTTTGCGCGGATGCACGATGGTTCCCGTACCGTTTTGAATGAGCGGTCCACCTCTGGCCTTTGGCCACGTATCGCCATTCTTTTCGGCCTTCTCAACCCGGCGTTTGCTCCTCTTCAGCACCCCGTTGTTCGCCTTCTTGTGATAGCTCTCGATCACCGAATCGAGTTCGGCGATGGCGACCTGCTCCTGCTCGATGGTGTTCGGACTAGAATTGCGGTGCCTCTTCTTCTTCTCCTCCCGGTCCTTGCTATGTTTTCGGCCCCGCACGATGTCGAACTTCTCCCAGATGTTTTCCCATGCGTTGGTGATGCCGCTCGGCTTCTCGCCACTGACCGACTTTGACACCTTGTAGACGCTCCGTTCTCCCACGCCCGATGAGACGTACCGACGTTCGTAGTCGTCCGATGTCGCCTTCAGCATCAATCGCTCCTGCTCAGTTTGAGATCCACTATTCACCATCTTTTGCTTTTCCGCGCTGAGATTGCTACTGTCCAACGGGAGCGAGCCTGACGCTGGCAATGGTATGCCTTTCAGGGTGGTAATGGTTATCACGTCTGTTGCGTTGTCGTTTAGGATGGTTGTTGCCTCGTGAGCGGACGGGATTCCATCCATCGGCTTCCCGTTAATCTGCAATAAAAAAATACTCGGTTTATCCGAATAAAGTGGACAAAGTTTCACTAAAAGTGGAGATAAAGATGGATTCATCATGCAGGAGTAAATAATAATACTTGTGAATATTTGTGTAGATTGCAACAATCGAATGACATATGCTTACATTGAGTACCCGATCGCCGACGGCAAGATTTCCATCCTTGGCTGCCAAACTGCCGGGAGAGATCTTCGATATGTAGACACCTAATTCAAGGGCGATGCCATGGGGTACGGAACCAATGGGGAGTTGAGTAGTTCTAAGGGATCTTCTGCTGATGCGACGTCGTCGGATGGTAAGCGTGGCAGGGCCGGCCGTACACGCTCTTAGGGTCTCGAGAAGCACCCTCGTCGATACAGACGTACAATCAACGTTATTCACCCTAACGATGCAGTCGTTGGCTCGCAGTTTGCCATCGGCGATGCTACCTTGGCTGACCTGGGCAACGTAGACGCCGTTTTCACTCGAATACTGAGGGTCGTCGCGACCGCTCACCAGTACCAGTCCCAAGTCGCGATCGGAGTCGATACCAAGCCTGGTAAGGTCGAGGTGAACCGTGAGTACATCCCACTCGACGACCTCGGAGTCGATGGTTGCGGAGTCGTGCCCCAGGTGGCCCTGGCCATACTGATTCGCCCGCAGCAGATGGTCACCCGATTCGATCTTCTCCTTGAGATCTTTCAGTTCCTTGGATGCCTCGTTTCGCTGCTTCTTAATATCGTCCGAATCCCGAAGAGCACCAGCCAACTCGGAAACGGCTCGGTCCCGTTCCTTCCTGAGTCTGTCGCACAACGTCCTGATGCTCTCCCTCTCTAGGACGATCTTGTCCCTCTCGCTGAACGCCCAATCTCTCCTTCTCTTAGACACTTCGGCCTCTTGGATAGCCTCTTCGAGTTCGGCTTGCAAGGTATCCACCGACTTGCGCAGCTTATCGAGCTCCAGATTGGCCTGGTCCAGGTTATCCATTCGCTCTTTCTCGCGCTTAGCGTAATCCCTGGTGTTGGTTTCACGCTCCGCCTCTTTGCTCGAGCTATCCCTCTCGTGGCTTAAAGAATGCGACTCCAGCCGGTTCTTGTAGTCTCTGCTCGACTCGGAGTAGTCCCCGAACTTCTGGCGCAACTCGTTACACTCCTTCAGAGCTTCATCGCGGTCATGCAGCGCAGACGAGATCTCTCTCCTCAGGGTCTCTATCTGATAGGAGAGCGCCTTTTTCTGGGGGAATTTCAACGAAGAGAGCTTTACGATTTGAGTGGTAACAGGAATTGTCTTCATGCTGCTACTTACCTCCTCGGTGAGCTGCTTGTTCTGGTTCTCCAGGTGCGTGATCTTCGAGTACGCCTGGGACAGGTCGTCTCCGAGCTTCTCCATTTCCTTGTGCACCGTGTCTCTTTCGCCCATAATCAAGCTGTACTCCTGAAGAGCGGCATTCCTTTCCTCCGTGAGTCGCTTCATATCTTTGCTAGCCTTCATCCGCAGTATCATAGCTTGATTGATCTCTTTGACCGCCTCCTCGTGCTGTTGTTGTAATTTAGCTAGGGCTTCCCGGTACTCGTTTCGCTCTCGAAGAGCGATGTCCCATTGCCTTATCGCTGCTGTACATTGTTGCTTCAAACCGTTCCGTTCTCGCACAGCACTGTTACGTTCCTGAGCCACTTCCTCGCATTGTTTCTTCAGGCGTGCTGCTTCCTCTTGTGCTAACTCCAACTACATTTTCGAAAGCATACACACGTGGTTATTCGCTGTTATCATCATTTAATTCTATTTATCGTCACTGTTTACATAAAGGTAGTTGCTGTCCTGCATACTTGCCTTGTTGACAGCAGATGTATGCGACGAGATGAGATCATCGTAACGCTTTCTCAAGGAATCGTACTCGTCCTTGATGGCCTCGTACTTTCGAACTGCTGATAAGTAGTGCTGATTCATCGCATCGGTGTTGTTGCCTTCCGGAGCCAGGATTTCCTGATTCTGACATCGTAGCTCGCTCACCTCCTTCTGCAAAGCCTGCACCTCCCGGTCAAGGCGCTGTTTGTCGTTGACCAGGTCACCGTACTTTCCCCTCAGAGCAGAGCTCTCTTGCGTGGTTGCTTCCAACTGATTCATGACTGCTATGTGTTGTCCCCGATAGTATTCCAATTCCTTCATGGTATGCTCACACCTATGAGAGAATAATGGATCCACTATGAAAACTACTGAAGAAACATGTACATATTACCGTTATCTCGAATCTTTTACTTTTGTTTCCATTAACCATTGAGTACTTATTCAGATAAAGTTTCATTGGAGACGGTATGGTTAGTAGTATTAGTAACAGAAACGTGATTAATAAGTTCAGGATAGAAAAATATGATGAAAGTAAGAAAATAAAAAATGGACAAACCGTCGAATGGTGTCGGAATGCTTATGCCTAAGTAGTTGTAGTTGATGCATAGCTTGGTCGCATTGAGCCTGTAAACCATCATAGTCGCTGCGACATTCGGAACCCCCAACGGGACTCCCAACGCTTCCGTACCCTCCACTATCCCTCTCTAAATGCCATGGCCAAGTTGAATCGATCGAGGGGACACATCGCAAAACCATAAAGCGATGCAACAAAATGCGAACGAAAACAAAAAATAACAGGGGGTTGTCAAACTGAAAGGATGTGCTAATTATATACATATTTTATCAAATTATTTATAAGTATAAACACCTTTATCATGTGACACATGATTGCGATGTAAAACAGACTTCGACATTGTCAAACTGCATTTATTACTATGTATTAAAGATACCACATTATTTGATCAAACTATTATTTGGTCACGGTAAAAATCTCACCAGTTTGCATGCATGAAACAACCGAATCATGAAGAGAGCTATATGTATTTATAATTCACACACTAAAAACCAAACTTTCTAAACTCTCTTTGCACGCTAGAAGGAACACAGAATACATCATAGAAATCGCAACGTAAGCAAAAAACAAGGCTTACCCATATTGAGAGCACCATCTGTAACAAAAAATTTACATGTAAACGCTTCTGTGAAATACAACAGGATGAATACAACTAAATTTTGAGTTCAACTAGAATTAAGTTGTAAATTGCAAATGAGATTTCAAAGTGTTACAACTCTTCTGCTCGTATGAATTATGTATTAGGGAAAAGAGTCTAACGCGGATGTTCCGGTAGTCCCTATTCTGCCATAAAATATTCTTTATAAATCGATATGTAGCGAATACTATGCAAACAGAGACATATACAAGGTACAATGTTCAGTTAGTAAATAAACCATAAATAGACCTAAAACCACATCGCTATGCAGTATCGTTATGCAAAGTACGCGTCAAACTCCAAATTCAATGGACATGTAGATTAACAAAGATCCAATGACTTACCGCTGCTCCCAGCGCTATCAAGGGAAGAAGCACCCGATGCCATGCTTCCGCTTTGACGAATCTCTACCAGATGTGTGCCTTCATCGGTACGCGACGTACATTTCTCCTGAAACATATTATTGCACCACTTTTTCACATAAAAAATCTATTTTGGACGACTGTCAATAGCTATCCTACAACAAACTTAGTAAGCCCGGATGCCTACAGAACAATCGTGATTCTCTGCTACCTTTTCCACAGGTGAGCGAAATCCGCACTCCACTGAAATGCCATTGCCAGCCGCGATTACGAACGATTAAGGATACCGCGATAAAACACCTAACAGAGCATAGTGAACCTCATAGTTTCCGCATGAGATGCACTGACGTAAAGGATACACCGAAGGGCTTATGTTTTTCGGATGGTCGTAGGAAATCAATTTTACTTTCCAATGATGCATCCGCGAGCCGCGCACAAGTGTCCGCTAGACTGACTCGAACTGGCAAAGCCAGCCGACAAAGTGTCACTGGACTTTCGGCGCACCTGTCGACGCGAGGACGATCGTCTCGAGCCGTCGAGGACGTTCCTCGGGACAAATGATCGAACCAGAAATAGGTGAATCCGATATCACTCCATTGGAAAGTTTGGATTTCACCTTGCCAAGGAATAACGGATATCTTCTCTCGCTGGCAACATAATCTTAGCTGAGAATAACCAGATCCCTCGGCGCCCACCGCGCGAACGAACTCCCACGTCCGAGACGAAAAGCTCACCTGGCGTACCGACAATCCTGACAATTAGCCATTTTCGCTCGCCGCTACGATCCGATTCACGTAGTTGGCAGACTACGTTTCCACCGTGTTACGTACCTACAGTTGCGCCGCGTCATCGGTTCGGTTTATTGACAGATAAATTTCCTAGAAATCCGAAGTTCCCGAGCGATCCTGGGTGCGTTCTATACTGCACCGGGGAGTAGGAGTGAAGGGTAGCGTCGAGTATTGAAAGTTAACATTTTCACCGCTCGATGGCGCCAGTCGACGCCTCGATAGATGGATCCCATGAGCGAAGAAACCTGTCTCATATATCCACATTTTAGGGACGTATCGATCGATCGTGGAAAGTATTTACAGAGATGAGTTGGGAGATTGCTCACGGGCAGGGTTGCGCGATCACATCGTGCGCTGCCCTCTGGTTTCGTACATTGCTTTCACCGTTTTTTGCCTCCAAGGACAGCGCAACGAATTTCTGGTAGGGGCTCGCCCACTCGCGAAGGCGGTGCCATCTACCAGTTGCCGTTGGCGGCTCACGTATTCGTGATGGTAATACCATGCGGCAGTTGACGGTGGTGGCTTACCTACGCTTAACGACACTGCACGCTTTTGATGGTAGGGGAAGAACACTCGTGGCGCCCACGTTGACTTTACCCTTCACTTACCTAATTTATTTTACGGGAAGATGAAATTTTATCTTAATTAAATTCTACTTCACAGCTAGTTCGCGGATCGGTGTCATCCCATAAGGTTGGTACCGATTCCCCAGGTCCCGTCACGAGGAGGCCGCTGCGATTGGGACCCGCCTAAGCATAGGCACCTGGTTCCGTTGAGTTCCCAGCGTCCCAGGAACTCACAGAACCAGGATTTCATAACCCGTACAGCACACCACTCGCATACCGTAAGCATCCGTCCATACAACACACCACTCGCATACCATACTCATCCGTCCAGACAACGCTCGCCGTACAGTACAGGGAAAGTCGCCGAGTACATTGCTAGTTGGCATCGAATTTCGAATATAATTTGCCAGAGGGGCATACTACTTCTAACGTGAACAATCCAGCAGCTTCCACCGTCACCGTCGACTAACCCAGCTCGGCTGTCGGCCCGCGAATACGAGTTTCACTCGACGAGCTTGTCCCGGCTTACAGCAGGCAGAGCCCCCGCAGGATGCCGCCAAAGCGAAACAACGTATCGCGCAACCGACAACCTGAGCCAGGTAGACTTGCACGCCGTAGCTTAGCTACGACGTACTAGGTGCCGACGGAAGCTGCCGGATACACTAAAGGTACGGCATCGCCGTACCTGCAGAAAATCTACTTCGGTTAGCAAATGCAAATCCGAAATTACTAGCTGCATGGAAAGGTACCCGACAACGTCCTGTCCGCAATTTATACTAACGCGCGCACGCAATGAGTGCTTCCACTTTTAACTACGTTAAACTACTAGCATACGCAAAAACAAGCTAAGTGGAACCACTCGCGCAGCTATTTGCGGACCGGGGGTTTTCAACTACAGTTGGAAACCACCGATCCCCCAGGCTCACCACGTGGAGGTTGTTGCGCACCAGAGCCCTTTACGAACTTAGTAAATTAATTTGTATATAAGGGCAATGGGAACAGGAAAGAGGGGGGATGTCTCCCATAAGGTCCGGTTTCACATCTCGAGTTAACCGGAGTTTGACTGGTTTACGATCGGTTTAATCCGGTGGTAAACCAGTTAAACTTTGGTTAACTCGGGAGTGGAACCGAGCCTTAATAGTATGCAAACATACTTACAGGTGTGTGTATGTATGTGTGAGCGATGGTAGAAACAGGTAAACCGATGTTGACACTTCGGGGGACCGAAGGGTAATGACGGTCCGATCCCGCTCGCGGCCTTATATAGGGACCCCACCCCGGCATGCGCATGCGCAGTTCCTCATCGCACCTTAATATGTTCCAATTTTTTAGTTCCTTTATATAAATGGAATTTCATGGCTACCAAGCCCTTTCTTAGAGTCTTTATACTCACGCTATACAATTTGAAACGATTCGGTGCACCTAGTTTCGAGAAAAATTTCGAAAACCACTGACCCCTCGGCTGCCTCTTTAACGGCACCTTAAAACTGATTCTCACGAGTTAGTACAATCCTTATTGGATGACACCGATCCGCGAACTAGCTGTGAAGTAGAATTTAATAAAGATAAAATTTCACCTTCCCATAAAATAAATAAGGTAAGTGAAGGGTAAAGTCAAAGAAGGCGCTACGAGTGTTCGTCCCTTACCATCGAAAGCTAGCAGGGTCGGTAAGCGTAGGTAAGCCACCACCGTCAACAGTCACATGGTATTACCATCACGAGTACGTGAGCCACCAACGGCTACTGGTAGATGGCACCGCCATCCTGAGTGCGCGAGCCCCTACCAGAAATTCGTTGCGCCGCCCTTGGGGGCAAAAAACGGTGAAAACTGACGTACGAAATCAGAGGGCAGCACAGTATGTGATCGCGCGACCCTGCCCGTGAGCAATCTCCTAACTCATCTCTGGTATTTAACTTGATCCAAAAACACGAGATAAATGTTGATTACTGTATTCATCGATAATAATGCTCCATAATGCGAAGGAGAAAAGAAGTACCTCAAGGAAGTTTTATTTTTAACTCGCACTGCACCTTCCGAAACGTCGTCATTTCGCAACATGGCGGCGGTTTTCAAGTATCATGACGGATTAACTGTATTTTAAAAACTGAAAAATGCCTAAACGCTCTATAAATTCATGTAAAAACTGGACTGGAAAGACAGGGAATGATAATATTTACACATTCTATACCTCTCCCTTAAATTTACTTCGTATTTACTTCGTCGGAAGTACTGCGCAGTAACACACCACTCTTCGCATGAATAGTGATATCTATTTTCATATAACGCTAGCGATCACCGCCTTACGTAAAATTAATTTTAAACGCGACGCGGCGGACGAGCTTACCCGCGCGATACTAGCGCCGCCACGTAGCATTCCTAAACCTTCGCGGCGCACGATGTCGTCAAAACTCAACGCAGTTGCGTCATCTAACAAGCTACTTGCAGGGAGGCCCCGGACTCGTCAGTGAGCACGCGATCGATCCATCGCATCCGCTGCGAGACCGTTCACTCCTTTCCACCTGCCGCACGGTAAGTACCTGAAACAAACGCAAGCAAACCCGTTCGATAACGCGAATCATTGCTAAAAATCCCTGCCCTTAGTGGAACTATATCGCGAACGGACTCGTCGATTTCAAGTTCGTTTGTTCGATGACCGAACCCTGTTCGAAGGTTCCACTCGCATCGCGGCCCTTCCTGGGTTCCTTCTCGGTCAGGGGCACCGCGTGTCCACGAGCACAACCGCGTGCGATCCTATTAAAAGAGATCCCTCATTTAAGTCAGAAAAAATCCCCGAAAAATGGCCAAAGGGCGTCGCGGACCTTCCCCCTTCGCCGAGGAATCGATCGCCGTTCCGTCGGCCTTGTGCCTTCATATTCTATTAAAGTTCGGTCTGACCCAGCATTATGTAATCCGCGCGATCTGGCCGTTAGCCCAGTGTTCCACTCTTTCGGTTGCGTACACGAGTCGCACTTCGACCGTGGACACTAATATCCCGCCGCGAGGACAGGCGTTTCAGTCGCACTTGGGTCTTCTTCTGCCGAAGCTCGAACGAAGGTCGGTGCATTTGGAATCTCGTTCCGCTCCGTTTTATCATTTTCTCATTTTAAAGACACAACGTGTCATTAGTAGCTTCATAGAGCGACACGATCTGCACGCTTCACACCGTACTTCAAGATTGCTCCTGGCTGAAAATTCCATTGCGTTCTCGAACAGTCTGGAGAAAATTAAACGCGTATCTCAAAGGCGTGCTAACTCGAGATCGTATTACGCGCAATGAGCTCGTATGTGTCACGAGATTGCGCATTGGCGAGCGATATTCGCGCGAAAATATCGACGTAGATCGCATCGCGCATGCTTAGGATTTTACGTGGGCATGGAGACGATAGACGAAGATGAGGGGAATTCGGGAGCGATTTTTTTTTTTCAAAATCTCGAGCACGTGGCTTTTACCCGCCGTCCTTGCTCGATTGTTCGATTATCGCGCGACTTCGTCTGGCTTCTCCCCACTTCATCGTTCCCTCTCCCTTACTCTCTTCCCGCTTGATCGTGGAATTATTTGAACTGAATTCTCTGTTTCCTTTACAGATCCCACTATCGCCATGGGTGTTCCAGCTGGTGATCCCGAGAAGGGGAAGAAGGTGAGAGATTGCAGTCTCGAAGCGAGGAGATGGTTACTCATCCTTGATTACGTATACCAGCTGCAATTAAATGGAATTTCCTGTGACGATTGCACTGCATCGATTCTGAGTTTTACATGAATTTTTAACAAATTTCTTAAACAAGGTTGTATAATGATTTCTTATGTTGTGTGAACCTCTCATGGACGATGCTGTTTTGTGTTAGAAGTGATTTTTTATGTATAATGTTCATATACTTTAAAAGATAACAATCTGTAGAGTGATATGGATATGCTTTGATCATTTTGTACAAGGTAATTGATAATCATTGATCAGTTTTTGATCCGAGCTAAGAGCAACTTTAGACCGGGCAAAGTCCACGTAAAAATTGCTGACACGTAGAATCGGAGTATGAACTCTTGTCATGTGTTCCCTACTCGTAACTAATTTTCTTATCACTTTAGAATCTATGCAATAAGAGTCGTTGATTTTTACTTATTGGTTTTAAGAGATATTTGCAATCCGAGAGAATATTCTGGCAGAATTTAAAATTACAGATGTATTAAGACATATTACCTAAATTTTGTTTTCTTTGTGCAATTAGATCTTCGTCCAGAGGTGTTCACAGTGCCACACGATTGAAGCTGGGGGTAAGCATAAGGTGGGCCCCAACCTGCACGGCTTAATCGGCAGGAAAACTGGGCAAGCAGCTGGCTACACTTACACGGAAGCCAACAAAGCTAAAGGTGAATACGAAATTTACTATTTAATAATATGATTGATATCTGTAGTACATTTTTGGCATACTTAAAAGTAGGAGACAGAAACTATAAATCGTGTATGGATAATTTCAAAGTAGATGCGTAATTGAAATAACTGAATCCTTTAGGCATCACATGGAACAAGGATACGTTATTCGAGTATTTGGAGAACCCGAAGAAGTACATCCCTGGGACGAAGATGGTCTTCGCTGGATTGAAGAAACCTCAAGACCGTGGTGACCTGATCGCTTACATTGAACAGGCGAGCAAGTAACGTGCCAAGAGTCAAGGATTACCGTAAAGGACACGGAGGGCAGCAGATAAATGAAGTTCTCCCATCCTTGGTGCTAAACTGACCGCATCCTGTGGAAAGTACGCAGTCCGCTGCCCCACGAGTTCGCTCTTGATCTCTGGTTCTCCGGTTTTCCCGAACAACTCAAAAGATATTCGGTACCCCATATGTTTGCCGATCAACTAGTAAAGAATTGTTATTGTTAAGTAGGTATAGAGTACCGTGACGACATATGTACGCATGTACGCACGATCGGGCGAGGTGCGTACATAATCTGACGCTGACTAGGGCTGGACCAATGTCAGTTTAAATGAATGTTCGAACACTTCGAACCCAGATGTCTCAGTGCCGGTCATCGCGACTGTTCATAATAAATTATTAATCAGGACTCACCAGTACCGAACGCTCGCTGTGCGTAGGTCTGCAACGAAATGCATAAGATTTGGCACTGAAACTTTTGCGTAATTTCTTTCTCTTTGCCTGCATTCCTTGTTCCAGTCCACGCAATTCTCTGCACCTTTTATTGAGCAAACCTTGGCATAATTATAATTAACTGCGCTTTAACTTTAAAGGCACTTTTGGCGTATTTTCCTCCTTTGCGTGAATGAGGAAAGTTGAGTGGGAACGGAGGAAATATGCGGTTGAGGTGTAACGTGTTCTGCCTATTCACTTCCAACGACTCGTCCACAAATCTAGTCACGGTACTCACGGTCAACGAACTTGAACCACTTCCTGGTTCCTTCCATCAGTGGATCAATCGATTTCAAGAAATATGCTTTCCGGTCGCTTTATGGTACTTCTTGAAAACCATATTAGGCGGCGTCCTGCATCTTTTACTTCCCTGTATAAGAAAGTAGGTTGACGAGTGACCGTAGCGATAGAGAAGAGGAAGGATGCGGTTGCGGGTGCAGGAAGCTGGACCATAGGATTCGGGGTTTAACCAGATTTCTATGACGCGAGACGGAATGCCTCCTGGCCGGCGATTATTCTTCATTCGCGGTTTGCTCGTTCTTGCGCAAGGGTCGTGGCCGAGATTCTACGAATCCACGGCAAGTAAACGGAATCCAAGGTGAACGGTCCCGAATCACCCGGTGCTCGGCCAGGTCGCTTCCGTGTTCACGGCTTGGTCGATCGTGAGGAATCCTTCCGCGAATAATGGTCTCCAAGGGCAAGTCGTTAAACTCTTCGGTGGACGGAGACGAATCCATAGACGATGGGGGGACTCAGGTGGAACTGAGGATGAAGACGCCTCTCAGGATCCGACTGGCTCGAGTCTTCAGCTTCTCGACCCCGTCGAGTCCTGGAAGTCCAGGATCTCCGGACAAGAGGTCGCCGGACTCTAGAGGATCCTGTTCGGCGCAAAACAGTCCTTCCACCAAGTCCAGGTTCCTTTGGAATCATGGAACCTCGAGGTCCTCCTACTCTTCGCTCGCGGACGGCAACCGCAACAGCGGCTCTCCGGGAACTCCGACTATTCGTTCCGCTCCGGAATCCCCGCACTGTCCGTTTTCCAGCAACCTTCATGCCGGAAAACCGTGAGTACCGCTTAATATCACCGCCGCTATATATGCGACCCATGAAACTCTTCGACATGCATATGTATGCCATGTTTACCGCAATCCGTGAACGACGCTGGGTGCGGCATCTTCCATTTTATGATCTGAAATGTCGGCGATAGTCGTCTTATGACGATCGTTCCCTTTCTTGTCGGAGCCAATGTTATGAATCGGCGTACGTACTCGACTCTCGTTTCGGGGGATTCCTGGAAAATTTGTACGTCTGTAATTTATGTTTACACGAGACACGACGTATTTATATAGGTTTCCTTTATATAAGAAATGATTTAAACATCATGCAAGTATCAAAATGGTTAGCACTGATTACCTCTTTGTGTTAATTTTCTGTTTAAAATTGAATTTCGCTTAGCATGAAGTCGAGGAATATCAAAGTAAATGAAAGTTTCAACTGCAAGGGTTTTTTTCTTTTCACTTGAAAGAAGAACGATTCTAGAATCAGTATTGAATAGTTGTTACCTACAAGTTAAGTTGATACTTTTGTACGCAGGAAGTATTATCCGTAAAGTTGATGCATGTCCTTTTTAATAAAGGATCCGCCAACGATGTGGGGAGCGGCATTTTCTGGTTTATGATCCGACACTCGTTTTATGACCATCGTTCTCTTTGTTGTCAGAGCCAATGTTATGAATCGATGTTTCAGACAATTCCTGGAAAATGTTCAGATCCGTCATTTGTGTCTCTAAGAGATGGTACATATTTTTACCGCAACGAGACCAATCGCATACTTAAGTGCCGGTATTTTGTTGCTAAAGATTATATATATCCAATTTATTTTTAACAATTCTATACCTTATTCGTGGAATATTCGGTTCATCAATCGATATATATAAAAGACCATCGTTGTATATACATGACTATCGTGCGCATTACGTGGCATTTATTAACACCTACACTTCAGGCCGTCTTAAAAAATGCTTAACAAAAATTAACCGGGATTGATATATCCGTCATTTACTATTAGACTTATGAACTACCAGTGACAAAGCAGTTAACGTTGCGTGATAAATCTCGGTCGAGGTCGGACAAACGTTCTGGCAAGGGCGACTATTTTGGCTCACATGGATGATATACGTGCGGTAGTATCCACGTAACTGCCGTGTTCTCTACATCGATAGTTAATTATTGTTTAACAATGTACTGACAAATCCCGTGAAAAGTACCTCATATAAGACGTCATACGTCGCGCCAAGGAAATATTTCGAAGTTTTCGAAATTATGAAGAAGAGCGAGGAGTGTTTCCTTACGTTTCTCCTGCCTTTATCGATATCGGGGGCGGGATAACTTATCAGTTAAATAAAACAAACATCCCGATTAACTGGAAAAGAGTAGGCATGTGAAAATTTGAAAAGGATGTAAAATATCAAGCCACCTCTGTGCTTGTTGCAGCGTGCAGTTCAGGTAGTGTGTAAGGGGATTCTTCGTTGAATTAAAATGAATGAAAGGGGATCCGATTCGGTATCGCGGGTACAAAACGGCCGCGTACTATCGCGATCGCTCGTTTCGCCTGTTAATCCGCGAAATCGATTTCTTTCGATCTCTCGCGATCTCGCGATCGCGAGATCGGTGCCGCCTCCGTGACACCGGACGTGGGTGGAAGTGGCGGTGACCATATTAACATACATCGGGGGTGACTCGTCCGAAAGGACGATATGTAGGGATGCCCACGCTATCCTTGCCGGGGATTAACCAACCTTTCGGTAAATAAATACGTTCGAACAGAGGAGTAAGAAATAACGGAAATGCTCGTGATCAATGAGTCGGTAATGTCACTGTCGCAACACTTGTACACTGTCAAAGGCCACGTGGGCGGGCTGACGTATCGTTACAACTTGGGACTCTTATGCACTTCTAATGACAACGACACCGATAGGGATGATGGGACGGTCATGTTAAGTTTTTTTTTGCCAAGAAAAACCACGTCACCAGAAAGGGTGACAAATATCGATGGGAATGAAATTCTAACGTTTTGTCGAAACTCCAACGTCGAACCATCTAAATTCTTTGGTTCAATTGAATTTTCTCGAGTAGAGATTTTTGAAGATATCAAAGGAGAAGAGGGGCGTTTGCCAGACGGCAAGACGGGGTTATTGAGTTTACTTTTAAATCAGACCGTCCAAATTCGTACCGATGGAATCTACACGTGAAGTGTTTCAAGTAGTGGGCGCACTTCCGGCGTGAGAGCCGCGATGAATCGATTCGTTCTGTGAATCAGAAGTTTCGGGTATTCGTACGTAAGTCTTCGGCATGACATACGATACCACCCCCGGTTTTTACGATACCCAGAATATTTGGAGTCGGATAGAAAGCCGAGATTTTTCCCGAATGCCGAACAAGAAACTGATCCAACCCTAGAACTCCGATACTCCCAATAAAGAGATTAGACCTTTTTCCGATAAAATCTCCCGCGAGTGATGAAAATGAACAAATGAGTTTCCCGTGACTCCAGCCCACATATACAGGACTCGAATAAATCCCAGTCATTAAAAAACACCCACCCACATTTTAATTCGCCTCTCACTTTTTATCAGCCCACTTTCCATCGGAGTTCTCTCGGGAGTTAATTATTCCCCGCGTGCGATACTTTCACGGAGTTCCTTATCTCCGTTAATTTCTCCCGGCAGCACGCTCTCGTGGAATAGTTCAGCCCTAGTTTACATTAAGCGAGGACTTTTCGTTCAGGCTCCGAGGCGGTCGGCAAGAAAAAGTCCTGGAGACCCGTTCGAAAGGCTGCTCGTATTTCGCCGGAGGTTTCCAGGTGGGAACAAGCCGCGAATCGCGCTTGCGCGCGTACATACGCGCATTGGGTACATACACGCATCTGGTACGCGTAAAACGGCGAGATCGAAAGGGGATCGCTCTCGGCTCGTTACAGTCATTACCACCAATCGGGGTCCGCGTATCGTCGGGCGGCATTAGCTGGTGTTGGGTTGAGTTAGGTCGATTTAGGGTAGCGTTAGGCACCGAGTTATCGAGAATAGGAGCGAAACAACCTCCTGCCGGTCGTCAATGTGGATCTTCCTGCGCCGACCCGGCTGGAGATTAAATCGGCCCGATCGGTATCGTTATTTCTCGGCGCACGTACGCTGACCTACCTCTACCCGTCCACCTACGCCGGACCAGCGCCTATCCTACCTCCATTATACTGCCTATCCCATGCCGGTTCCATTGCCCATCCAGCGCCAGTCCTAGCGCCTATCCAACGTCGGTTCTATTGCCTGTCCTATTCCCGCCGAGCACGATGCCCAAGAATGTCGAATGCCGTGCCGAGGCACTTTATTTATGTGCAAAACGGTACTTCCACCGGTTGCCTGTGATCGTGCCAAAATTGCCCCGACGGTGGTGCTGCAATTAATATCGGACATTCTATTGCGCAGAAACATCGTAAAGGTGTGGTTGCCCGCGCGATGGGGCTCAATTATACTATTACCCCTTCTTGGATCATCCTCTGCTGGAATCACCTGGGCTGGTCGTAAAGTCTCCAGAGAAAAGGAAGAGGAATAATCGTCGCAGGGTTGTGTCCTTTGGAATGCTACGTTACGTGTTTTATGATTATACCCGTCTGTCCGCTGATGAACATGCCGTTGATTGAAACGGTGATGAACTTTGTTTTGACTGTGCCACTAGCCTTGGCTGAATAGAATCTGTCATGGTATAGTTCCTACGAAATGTCACAATAATTATTGCGAAGGAAATGTAACACTGTGTCGGTAATCATGGGGAATATTGTACTATTACCTGGTGCCTCGGTCTTGAATCATCCTCTGGTATGGTCGTAAGGTTTAGAGGGAAACAGAAAAGAGGTTGTCGTCGCAAAGTCGTGCCTTTTGAAATGCGACATTACGTGGTTTACGATAGGCCAATTTAAGTTACCGCTGATTAGCATGGCGCTGATTGAAATGTTAAAGTTTTATCTTGCTCGTTTAAAAGAAATCTATTCTATCCAACAATCCTATCTGAAATATCTAACATCAAAATTGTGCATATCTGATGACTACAATGTACTGTTTAGCATAATGAAAAGAGGCTATGACCATATCTCGTTACGTGTATTTTTTTGAAAGCAGATTTGAATCACAATCCTTTTTACGTTATTCCAAACTTTACGTTAGTTTCCAATTTTCATGATTTTTAGTTTCAAGTGATGCGATTTTTCGACGAGCTGAGTATTTTCTTTACACCACTGACCAAGTGTAGTACTTATAAAGTGTCGCAAGAATTACTAAACAATTATTAAGAAGAAAATGTAGTGTTGTCAATCATTGAAAAGAAACGCCGTGAAAGTTTAGGTATGATCATCTGTACTTGACATGCAGGAAAATGCTTTCTTTTCGTTAATAAAAAGATCTAAATATGAACACGTATGTACATTAGAGATAGAATGTGGACCGACACGGCACGTGGCGTGTTGTGCGCTGCATCTGTGCAAGCATAACGGTGTCCAAAAATAGAGGTGTGCTGTTAGTGTTCGTAGGAGACAACTCCTCGACACCGTTATCGCGGTGCAATGTACTATCTGGTTGAAGAATTACCAACAACTCACGTAATGGAATCCCCTCTCTCGATGCGTACTAGCACTTTTTACGCTTCCGGTACATCAGGCGATCCTGCGGTACCCACCGGGATCGAGTGCAAAGCGATCCCCTCGTATTATGCAGGAACTGAAAATAAATCGGATCAATTTAATCCCTTGCCTATAGATAGATTTTGGCATAGATTTTTAAGTGAAACTTCTCATGGCACCCTGGGAAAAAAAGTGTCATTGAACCATAGTAATAGTTCTTTGAACGGTATCAAAGTAATATTTGGTTAATTCAAGGAATAATTATTTGACTCAAACTGGAATGAATTGGATGGAACGTTTCTTCGGAATTATGATTAATGAATGATTAACTATGAATAATGAATTATTTGAGTTTATGGGAGATAAATATTGTTTGAATGAACAAAACATTTCATTGGTTCAATTAAATTTATGCCTTGGTCACCTTAGTACATGTTAATTCGCACGTTTTCAAGGGACCCTATGGGGTTTTAGTATTAAGACAATTTACGTAAACCCTTTCGTTCGTGCCAATGCGTTACTTTCTCGGTTAATTGTTGCACTGTAAAGTGAAGCAAAAGTCGCACCAATAAAAAGTAAAATTAATTATGCTCAAACAGCGTAAGGGAATTACGTGAATGAATAATTGAGGATAAATGGTAATGTCTTATCATTATCTGTAACTTAAAAGTCTGACTTCCAACGCGGCGACCACGTATCGATTTCTTTTTTTTTTTATCAACATTCGAAGATTAGATTATTTGGATTTTAGTTGCTCATATTCCTTTTGCGAAAAGGCGAACTACGTGACCGTGTACGGTGGTTGTACGCCGGTAGTGCTGGTGGACGATTCATTGAGAAAAACCGAGGAATGGAACGAGTGCATGTATAATCTAGTATCCTTGTCGAGTTTCATGCTGCTGAATACGGTCATTTCCCACCAGCAGTGCGCCCGGAGTAATAACGGCCCTCCTTAATTTGTGTAATTCGTCCAATTAGCCTAGCGTCTGGTCTACTCGTTTTCGGATTTCAATGGGACCGTTTCCACACAGCTGGTGTGATACAATATGATAAAAAAAATCCGAAATAATTCCGAAATCAAAGGATGCCTTTTGTCCATTCCACGAGTCATCTCCTTTCGCGACATTTATTAAAAAAAAAAAAAAAAAGTAACCATTATAATCGAGCGGATAAGATAGATTGCACGGAGAATTTCACGATACCGAAATGCACGGCGCATGTCTCGCTTTTCGGGCTAATGCACTCCTTACAGCGGAGTGCTAATTACCGATACGATCTACCCGTGCGTGCCGGTCTATCGGGCTCGCCGAAAAACTGGAAATTGCGCACGGCGGTACCGCAAGGTACAACACGGCAACGCCGCCGGACATGGCGGATCGCTTCGCCGCAAAAACTCGCAACGAGTGCACGCACACACCTAACACGAAAAGTGAATGCGTGCACCCGAATAAGCGAGTACCCCGTTCGTTTTCTCGCCCTTCCGTCGTTTCACAGTTTCGCAGTTTCGCCGTCCCGCAGACTCGCAGACTCGCAGATTCGCAGACTCGCAGACTCGCAGACTCGCAGTTTCGCAGTTTCGCAGTTTCGCAGTTTCGCAGTTTCGCAGTTTCGCCAATCCCCATCCCGCCACTCACCGGTTCGGACCCGTTCGGCGCGTGGGAGTGGCTTACGCCGCGCGGGCTCGGACAGTGCCGAACGGTCCTCGCGAGCGCTCGGCAGTCCTCGGCTGTCCTCCGGCGCGGCGGAACCGACGGAACCAGCGAGCGCGAACCGAGCGGAGTCCCCAGGTGGCGCGTCCTTATTTCGCTACTCTCCCCGGCCTCGGAGCCGAGAAACACCAGGCTCGGCTAACGGGATCCGTGGAGCGAAGCCCTCCTTTCGCGATCACTGTCCACCTCGTGCGAGGCGTACGCGAGAGCCGGCCGACACGTTCTCGTGGGAGCTCCCTCCACGACTCCTTTATCTTCGTTTCCGCGCAATTTCGCGGCGAAACGCGTCGCGACCGAGGATTATAGATTCGGCCCCGTCGCCTGCGCGGGTATTCGCCTTACCAGGTGATGCGATGCTTTACTTATGCTCGGATTAGATTCTAATCTTAATCCTAATCCTGTTCTTATCTCCCTAGCGTCGCATAGATTTGTCCAAGAAAGCCCATTCACGCGTGCCCCAGGTACGATGTTTTAAGTACCTTTGAAGTCGTTATCTCCCGATAAGCAAATCTGCTTTGAAAGATCCTGGGGTCGATTATCCCGTGTTAAACTGATCCTCTTTGCCAGCTTGGACGATGTGTTTTCGCAGGCCCGTTTGGTGTCCTTTTTATTTTCGGATTAAATCCTATCTCATTTAAAAAAAAAACATGAATTGTTTGAGACGTTCCGGCATCTCTTATCGTATTTTTATTTTACATCCTAACCACGAAAACTCCTGTACAGATTTTTATCCAAATAAGCCTATACACGAGAATCGCGGGGATGGCGTTTTGAAGAATTTAAATCGTTGTTTATCGCGTTATCTCCTGATAAGCAAATCTGCTTTGAAAGATCTTCGAATCGATTATCCCGTGTTAAACAAACCCAGAGATCTGATCCTGTCTACATGGAGCCTGGCCGATATCTTCTCGTAGGAGGCCCATCTTGAAGTCTTTTTGCCTTCTTTCTTCGTCGTTTCTCTTGCAGCTTGGCACGTCGCGGATGCGGATTATAGATTTGTCCTCGTCGCACGCGCGTGTATGTTGCCGGGTGATAGGATGCTTTACCTATGGTCGGATTAAATCTTAACCCTTCTTTTGCCCCTTTTTAAGCCGTCAGGCGAGCCGCGAACGAGGGTTATAGATCTGTTCGATGAAAACGCGTTCACGTGTGTTATCGATGCGGTGCACTGAAACATCGTCGGATTAATTATACCGTGTTAAACAAATGTCTTGATCTGGTCATCTTTGCATTGGCGCTGTTCAAAAAATTCGTAATAAATGGAAGGATTTTGTTTGAGACATGCAGAATGTAGAAGAGGTGCGTGTGTCGCTACAAAAAGTACCGAAAATAATCCCGGGAACATCCTCGGTATTTCTGAGATATACCTCAAAGAACCTTTGTCGCGTTGTTCCTGTGGTTTTGTTTACATCGCGGTATCAATGGCTGATTAGTGTTCTCGATATCAGAGCTTCAGCTACAGACTGAAGGTCCTTGTTCCCCTGAGAAAATGCTCGATTCATGAAATTTCGGGGTTGACAACACCGACCTTTTCATTCATTCCACGTGGTTAATGTATTTGAAGGAACGCTAGGCGAATTGGTAGAACTTCGGTGCCACCTGTTGGGTACATACTTAATCTCGTATTCACGTTAAGCTGTGCTTTTAAATGAGAAATGAAGGACGGTAAGGATTTTCGTTTTTATCCTTTATGGGTCGCTGGACGAAACACATACGTCTTTGTTCCTTAGAAGGTACATATGGGAAATACTCAAGGTTTATTCGAGAGCAGAAGTGGGTCCTTTAAGGGGCCACCTGTAGGTATTCTCTGCAGGCTCAAAGGCTCCGATATTAAATTTCCTGGGAAAGGATCCTCTCAGTGTCGAAATTTCCTGCCCTTCGATCTCTTCGTCGCTTACTTCCCTCCTGATAAGTAGCAAATAATCAATAAAATAATAAACAGCGAAAAGTAGATATATAGTAAATTAAAATTAAAACGAAATGAAACGTCTTCACGTAGTTTATTTTCTTTCTTTGAAACCCCGAAGTGTGTTTCTTCCATTTGGTTTTCTTAGGGCTTGTCCTCGGCAGAAAACAGCACTAAAAACATGACGAGCGCATCTTCACCTCTTCCTTCCCTCTTATAAATTGAAGAATAAATAACTACGTAGTAAATATCACGTTGGTACATAATTAATGTTACACTAAGAAATAACCAGGAAATAGTAAGGTGTAACAAGTAGGCACCGATTCAATAGCAGATTGAAATGACGAAATCTCTTGCACCCTCGTGGGCAGTTCCCTTATAAAAAGATAAAAAGCAAGACGGTCATGAAAATCACAAAGTTTCCCCTGAAACGTCTTTCAAGTTGTTTCTCTAGTTTCTTTGAAATCCCGTCGAAGTGTGTTCCTTGCCTGGTTTTCTTAGGGTCTTGTCCCCCGGCAGAAAACAACGCTAAAAACTCGGCAAGAGCACCTGGTGCGCGGGACGTCCACCCGCGTGGGCGGTTGCGCGGGATTTAACTACGTGGGTACAGGTCGCGACATTAATCCATGGACATTCCGCGGGAAATGGCTTCGGGAAACCTCGACGGCCCTAGGGAGGCCCGTACGACCGGGAGAAAAACCGTGGACGTCTTTTTTCCCCCATCCTTTCCTCCGGGGCGTTTCTATTTGCCCCCATATGTTACCCGCGTCCCACGTGGACGGCGTTTTTGTCGCGCCGTTCTTCTACTTCGACCCGGGCCTCGAATATAAAGATATACGAGACGGGCTACCCCGAGACCTAGAAACGACCCGAATGTCCGGCACATCCGGGTCCGATAAGACGAATGAGTTTCTTCGGAGCTCTCGGCCTGACAAAGGACAGATCGAGGCACCTGAATGCTAAAAAGAGGAAGGAAGTTGACCAAGTGTTCTCCACAGGGGGAAATATCACGTTCACCCCTTTTCTTCGCCCTTCGTGTCATTTCTGTCCCCGAGTTCGCATTTCAAGAAAATGGAAAGTGAAAGAAAAAAAAAAGATGTAACATTTAATTTCTCTTCATAGTTAATTATTATTACAACGTTAATGCGTTATTGTCTCGGTTAGTTACTGATATTTAATGTGAAGGAGAAATAAGAAAAGACGTTGCACTTTCGTGTGGCGGTCTTAAACTCGTTTTCGCTTTTATCCGTAAAGCCGATGGGCGGTGGGGACGGAGAGTGAAATCCGGGGAGCGAATCTTTCGAAATGTCGAAATAATTCCGATTTTCTTTTGCAGTCCCCTCGAGTACGTAATATGAAGACTTATAGGCTGGGTCAATTTGACCCCTACTTC